GACTGAGCGTCTCACTTTGCATGTCAGATGGAGCAATGTGCAACTATTCCAACACCTAATCTAAACACGGGACGGCTCTGTGGTTTTTTTTAATTCTTATTTTTAATAATATGCAGGTAAAGTTCCAGTGTAACTTTGGTCTGGAGGCGTCCATTGAAATGACGGCTTCATCGGGCGGGGTGATGGGGTGCGGGCGGCTCTCAAAGCGATCCTTCCTCCCCAGAGTTTCTCCCGGGAAAGCAGCCGTGCCGGCCGCTCCCCCAGCGCTCAGGAGCGGGCTGGGGCGGGAGTGATGTCAGCGCCAGGCGGGCGGCGAGGCTCCCTCCGCCTGCCCCTGCCTGCCCCCCTGCGCGGCACCGAGCGAGAGGCGAGGGCGGGCAGCTGAGGAGATAAGGAGGCGGCGGGGAGGGACGGAGGGAGGGGAGTCCCGGGGGGAGCCCCCCGAGCGGCGCTCCGGGAGCGGGCGGGCCGGTAGCAGATGTTGCCGGGGGAGCAGCGCGGGGCGTTCCCGGCGGCGCGGAGCGGGACGAGCCGGGGCGCTGGGCGGCCGCGCCGGGCGGGACACGCCAGCGCTCCGCGACGGGGGTTTCCCTCCCTCGCCTACTTCTTCGCAGCTGCGCTTCAGAAATGAGGAGGAGGGAGCGAGGGCAGCCCGCTAGCTGCAGCTTGTAGTCGGGACCTGCCGAATGTAAACCTGCCGTGCCTTCGGGGAACGCGCCGCGCCTGCTCTCCTCTGCAGCTGCCTTAAAGAGCTCTCCGGGATGGGAGAATCGGTCTGAAACATTCGTTTTCCGACGGTCTGCTCAAAGGACGCATCGGCTTGGCTGCTAGAAAGTGATGTTTTCTTCTGGGACTTGTGGAGGCACCACGGACAAGCCTGGTACAAGAGGAGGATAAGCTGCCTTTCAGATCAAGGTTATTTATAGCTACTGCCAAAAAAGTAAAGGACTGGTTTATTATTCTTACTGTTCTGGATTTAACTTATTTCCCCCCCCCCCCCCGCCCCCCAAGATTTTCTCCGTGCCTTGGTCAGGACTATACAAGCCACTGTGGATTCTGTCTTTACAAGTTGCTGCACCATGTTTTATTTATAAAGGAGATGGCACCCTGCAAACCAGTTAAATGGATTACAGTTAAGCAGTCATCTACAGAAGATAATGTACTACCTTCTGTAATGCCTGTTCATTTGGAAGGCTTATTTGGGAGATTTTAGATACAGATGCTGACCTGGAAAAATAAATGAAGACTTCCACTGAATGTTTAAAATATTTGGCTACTGCTGGTTTTTGCTATAATTTGTTTTTCTGTGACATTGGAAAATTTCTGTTACTTTCTAACTGAAGCACTTTATATTTTGGAGGGTGTGGAACCTCACATCCAGGTAAAGTCACATTTAAACGGATGCACTGATTATGAATGACCTCAGCCACCTCATATCTTATGATGTATATTTTGTGTCTATGCATCTTATGCTAAGGGCAAGTTTACTATTCCTTCAGACTGCTAGTGTTTTTTAAATGTTTCTCCTGAATCCATGAAAACAGAGGCATAGTGGTGTACTTGTGTGAATACTTTGGAGATGGGGAAGCCACTTAGCAGGCCAGACTGTCTACGCCAGAATCCTCCATGTGTTGGCAAAGGGGAAGAAGATGAAGATCTAAATATTGAGGACTGCTACGTTCCCCAGAGGTCTATCTATGACACTGTGCGGTTGAATGAACAGATTGATTCGGGCTCCAAGGGCAGCCTCTCTTCGAGGCATTTCACAGACCGGACTTTACCCTACAGTCACAGAACACTGGACATCAGCACTTTGTGCTCCAATGGTGTCCTTACTTCTTCCAGTGTTTTTGAGCTCCGAAGCCGTGAAGCTAACAAGTTAGATGAAAAAATGATCTTTGATGCTCTTAAACTGAACAGTGATGTAATTCGGACAGCTGGATTACCCAAAGTGAAGTCTCACACAGAAAAGAAGGAGCACAGACGATCGTGGAGAATGCTTGTCCCACCCAATTTTTCAGATTACACTAATAAAAGTGAAAGCTCCTTTAACGAAACTGCTGATATGTCAGAAGCAGCTAGACTGGGCAAATGCAAATGGGGTACGAATTCTCTTACCTCGGAAGAGGATGATTCTGGTTTATGCAGCCCTCCAACAGAAAGAGAAGATAAACAAGATACACTCTTATCAGGGGATCAAACTCAAATACGGAGTCTGTCTTCTGCAGAAGATATCCATGCAGTAGGTCAGTTCAGACCACATATCCCAGCAATTTGCAGAGAGCAGCAAACCCCACTGCATGCAAGCATGAATGTCGCTGTCAAAGAAAGCTGCAGATTGGCTTTGCATGACGTTTTACCCTCTGGAAAAGTAGAACAAAGCAATGTACAGACATGTGAGAGTGATCAGGAAGAGATGGGGGGGAAATACCCTCACTTACAAGGTTTCAAAGAGAAACCTCTGTCACATGAAGATCCTCTTCGAAGTGATGGAAGAGGTATTAGCCTTGGCAAAAATGAAATGGAAAATGCATATGAAGTTCATGAAAAAACTAAAATGCAAGTCACAACAGTAGAGGAGGATTGTGTGGATGATGCATCTCCTCATGTTTATTACATGAATGCTGCTGTAAACACTAGTGGCTTGGATTTTGCAAAATATGAAATTTTATCTGAAACAGAGGAATTCAGTGTAGCACATACAGGATCAAATGAAATGTCATTTTCTGTACAACAGCTTGAATTAGATAGTACTGTAAACTGCCCAAAAGCTTTTCCAGGGGGAAATGGCAATATCTGGACTACTGGCATTCAAGATACCTTGGATAGAGTCTGCAATGGCCTCTTGTCCAATAAGGTAATAAAAAATAAATCCACAGATTTGTGAAATAGTTGTAATATAACCTTACAGATATTTGTTTAAAACTTTGTTTTATTGTTGTTGCAGAACTGTAACTTTATTATTATTATTAATTAAGCAGATGCAGTAATCAGTGTCATTTGCATAGCACACATGGGGTGTCCAAAACAGGTGGGATGGTCAGTCTGGAAAATGAGCTGGGGGCAAATTCTGAGAGTGGTGCTTACTCCAGTTGTTTTGAGCAGGGTTATTTATTGTCCAGCTGGTGCTTGTTACTCCTGACTGGAGTGCCTCCTCCATGCTCGGTGTCTGTACACAGCGTGGCTACAGGCAATGCCATTCAAGGGCAGCTACAGCCCTTGTGTTCAGCTTGAACAGCCTTACTCATCTAGGTATAAGCAACAGTATCAGATAGTTGTGGTTTCCAAAGCAGTCAGATTAAAGGTTCACCGCCTCTTCTGGGAGCTGCCTTTTGCATTTGCGTGCCAGAAAGCAAATCTGACTCTACGGTAGTATTTTACAAGCACTGAATCTTGCAGTGCTTTGTGAGTGGTGGATGAGGTAAGAGAATAAGTGAAACTTTGTAATAAGGAAAGGGTGTTTGTCGGGTCTGTAATCTTTTTCTTCCCACTCTGGTTGAAATCTGAGATACTTCAAGCTTTGTTGCTAAATTGTTCTGGTAAACTTTGGCCTCAGCAATAATTGTAATTTATTTTAAGCTTCTCTCCACAAAGAATGTGTGCATTTTTAAAGGGCAGATTATGGAGATCAGTCCTCTCTGTGGTAGGATGTTTCTCTCAAAAGATGAGGCTGTATGGCACATAAAAGAAGAATTTGTTATTTATTCTGTATGGAAATATTATTCTGCCTCCTCCCTACCCTACAGTCAAGAAAAACACAATCGTTTTCCTTTTTCTAGGAGCAGCCAACTCACTCCATACTCTCAATTTTCATGTAACCACAGTCTTAGAGTTTTCGAGGGGGTGGGGGTGGTTGTTGTTTTGTTGGGGTTTATTTGTTTGTGGGGGGGATTGTGTGTTGGTTTTTTTTTTCTTTTTTTTAGGACAAAACTGTTAGGGGTCCTTAATTGTTTTGCCCTTCATGTTTAGGGTATTTGCTGTAGCCTCTAGATTGACTTGTCAAGCTGGTGGAAGTGTGCTCAGCCACCTGAGGTCTGCAGCTTTAAAAGCAGTCATTTGCCACACTGTCTTTGGTGCAAAAGAGGAGAGTTGCTGGTACTTTCAGAGTGATCCCTGCTTTTCAGGATGCTAAGAAAGGTTGCTTTGAATGCACTAAGTGTACACTAAAACTGTTAAGGAATGCTGCTATAGAAATTGAAGGATTTAGGGTCAAAAGTTGAGCATTCTTTAGCATTGTTTATTCATTGGTTATTTTTCAGTGGCCTGTGTAATTAATTCAGGGGCTTCAGGCCATTTTCTGATCTCATTGAAGCTTGTGTCAGTGCAGCTTAATGCTGGTGAATACAAATGGAGATTTACACTGTTGTTGCTAATTATAATAATCTGGCTCTAAAAAAGCTTAAATACCTGCAAGAGTAAAATAAAGCAAACAGAAAACTGCTCAAACTGCTGTTGGGCATGGTCAAAGCCCTGGCAATTTGCAAGAATATCCTTTGAATGAAAGCCCATTTTCCTGGGGTGTCTACTGGGATACTGGTTCAACGGCATCTGTAGTGCCTCCTCCTCACTTGTTACCATCATAATCTCCTAAACCCGACCTTAAAATATCTCTTTCTTCACTGGTTCTTTGACTTAAACTTTGGCTTCTGTCTTAATTTGGAAAAAATGCCCAGTTGTCTCTCTTGGTCTGTGCCATTTTTTTACCCCCCAAAACTTCCACTGCCCCTCTTTTTCTCTGTCCCTTTCCCTTCTATCTAAAATTACCCATGGAAGTGTATGTCATTTTCCCTTCTATCATGTATTTCATTCGATCTGTTTAGATTAAGTCCATGCTGTTTAGATTTATTAATATTTTTAGGAAGGTCCTCATGAGGAATGGCTTCCTTTCTTCTAGACAATGATTTTAAGATTTTTTTTGTTGCATGCTATCATGTAAACACTGGGTGCATTTTATGTCAGAAGATATCATGTTTCATGTCTGTCTTGGATTTCAACTGCAGGTATTCCAGAAAGAAGAAATTGAACCCTTGCAAGTAAAACAACAGGAGGTAAATTGGTTGGGCCAAGGCCTTATTCAGAGTGCTGCTAAAAGTACCAACACAGAAAACCTTGAACATGACCTTGAAGATGTCAACACCCGGTGGAAGACTCTTAATAAGAAGGTTATTATTTTGTATACTATTCTGCTTGTGTTGTGTTCTGCCATTTGATTCTTTGCTTGCTGACATCTTTTAAAATACAGGAAATTAAATATTCATGAAGGATATGAATTATATTTACTTTATACAATCACTGTGTTCATAATTCTAAGGATAAGGTATCACTAGTAGCCAGAGGTATTGCTGTCATTTATAAGGTTTTGTCAAACTTTCTATAGGTCTGTCCTGGATTTTTATTCAGGAAAGACTCACAGAATCACAGAATGGTTGAGGTTGGAAGGGACCCCTGGAGATCATCTAGTCCAGCTTTCAGTCTTTGTTCACGTTTTTTGACTCTGTTGTGTATGCTCAGGTACACTGTTGTACCTGCACAGTGCACAGAGCAGTGATACAGCCCAGCGTTGTGTGACTGGTGGCTTGTTTATAGCACCCTAAGGATTTTATTGCTTGAGACATCAGAAGGTACCACTGCTTTGGAAAAGTGGCTGTAGATGTTTTTCTGTGCTTTTCAGGAGTTTTCTTCCAGCAGTAGCTGCTGTTGAAAAATGAGAACAGTGGGAAGTAGAAATGGTGCTCATCTTGCTCTTCTCTCTCTTCCTGAAGGAGTGATGCAGCAGAACCACAGATACCAGTGGTTCACCTATTTGCCTTCTCTTTTCCTTTGTTTTTTCTTCCCACTGATGGCATTATTATTCCTTACTAAGAGTTGCTACTTTGGATTCCTGGCTTGCTCTTTCTATAAGGGAAATAGAGACCATCTGAAACACAAACATCCTGTCAGTATACTTCATAATACTGTAGCTGTATAAAACAGGACCATCTCATAAGGAATTACTAGAGCAGGCTAATTTACTGGGAGATAACCTCTTCTTTTTATTGGATACCTGCAGACCCAGGAGATTAATGCTAAATTGTGACACAGTGTTGTTATGAACAGTTACAGAAATGAGAGTATTTGTTAGTGATATTGACAGATGTTCTACAGATTTTGGCTAATTATTTCATAGCAATAAAAAGAATAGGTGAGATCCTCTACTTTTTTTTAGGTTGCCCAGCGTGCTGCGCAATTGCAGGAAGCCCTCCTCCACTGTGGGAGATTTCAGGATGCCCTTGAATCCCTGCTTAGCTGGCTCATTGATACAGAAGATCTTGTGGCTAATCAGAAACCGCCATCTGCTGAATTCAAAGTTGTGAAGGCCCAAATACAAGAACAGAAAGTAAGTGAAATGGTTTCAGAATATCTCTCCTTCCACTGGATCAATGAGAATAAATTCCCAGTATTTGACAAAGCATAATATTTGTTCAAGTGTATTATAATACACTGGAGTGTGCTGAGGTTTTTAAAGGAGCCATCTGTTCAAAATTCAAGACTTTGTCCAGTGCTGGGAGAAGTGCTCATCTTCTGGGACATAAGATAAAGAGTAATGCTGTGCAATCTGAGGTCTGGTTAGAATTATTAGCATTATCTGGAAAGGATTGTTAAAGGTCCATTGGAAAAAGAGCAAGAGTAAAATCCAGCATTTGACCATTTGAAAAGTAGGAAATAAAAACTAGTAAATTTTCATTGTAATACTTCCAAGATGATGTTGCAGATTACGGACTTAAATACTTGGCTCTTGATCCTGATGTGATCGTTGTTGGTAATTAGTTGAAACACAGTTGGGAAATGGCCTCTGCTAATGTATAAGCACTATCGTTGTCATCAACTTTGGCAACTTTCAATAATAGTTATAGAAAAAAGAATGCTAATGTAGCTGATAAAATATACAGTTCATGTAGTTGGACTGTGTGGTCCACTACCACCCACAGATTTAATATAAAGTTATGGTCAGTATACGTTGTCATGTTGGGATATCTGCAGATGCAAAATGTTAGTGTTACCAAAGACAGAATGGAGGAAGGGAGAATCGTAGACAGCAGTCTCTGTTATTCTTCACGAAGGAGTTGATTTACCATACTAGATCAGTGAACTCAATTGTACCTCAAACAAGTTATGAGTTCATTATACAGTAGTTTTTATATCTATTCTCCTTTCTCTCTCTGTGTCAGAATTACCTTTGTGATGCCAAATCTAGAAGGGCATGCAGCTTTTTCATAAATGTTCCTATAAAATATAACAGATACTCTAAATAGCTTGTTTTACTCAATGTATTAAGTAGAACTTTTTCCTCTATATATTCCTTCTTTGGGCTGCCACATATATTAAACCCAGAGAAATCAGGGACGTTGATTGGGCTTTGTGAAACTGCTGCTCTTAGGAAAACTACTGAGAAACTAAAATGAGCCTGTGTTGGGGAGGGGAAGAGGTTGATGTGTGTCGCATGTGTGTGTCTCTTTGATTAGCATTGTTCACGCTTTTTTCACAATATAGGCATTGTGGTTTTGTTTTGGGGTTTTTTGTTTGTTTGTGGTTTTTTGTTTTGTTTGGTTTTGGGGTTTTGTTTGTTTGTTTGTTTGTTTTTTGTCTTCTTTTCCAGAAGTCTACTGTTTTTACATTTGCGTTATTGCAATGTTTCTTAATACCCTAGTGCTTGATTGCTTTCTCTGCAGCTTCTCCAGAGGTTGCTGGATGACCGCAAGCCTACTGTTGAGGCAATCAAGCGTGAAGGGGAGAAAATTGCAGAGTCAGCAGAGCCTGCTGATAAAGTGAAAATCTTGAAACAGCTGAGTTTCCTGGATAGTCGGTGGGATGCATTGCTCAGTAAAGCTGAAACAAGGTATTTGAAATTCTTTTATGGATAAGAAAAATGTAGAAATAGCATAGATGTTTAGAAGCAGCATGTGGAACTCTATAGTGTGAGTTCTCTATAGTGTGAAGTACTATAATTCTTGTTATTGCATCACATTATAGTGTCTTGATATTGATATAATGAGGGAAAAGGGGAGAGAAGTGACTTGAACAGACCAAAAGCCTGTAAAAAAGGTTTAGTCTAAGATGCAACAATCTGCTAGAATTAACTGGATATATATCTTCTGAACATTTTATCTCTGTCAATTAATTAGAATGCAAGTTTCTTGATGCAGTAACCTATTCTGCAGTAGAATTAAGTGCAAATTTTGCACTTAACAAATAATAATGATAATACCCTTGGAACTTCAGAATCCTGACTTGCTGCTACAAAGAGGGGACACTCAATTCTTCCCTTTTTAATGTCATCTACATAATTAGTTTCTGCAACTTACAGATCCTCATACTGTCAGTTGCTGATATATGCAAGGTGCTGGGGTCCCCTTAGTTTTCAAGAAGAAAAAGGACCATTGAAGTATATAGATATATTCTAGCAACACAGAAAACACTGTGTCTTAAAAGACATTGCAGACCAATTCAAGTTCCTATTAAAAAAAGAAAACAAAAATGATACACATAGTATCTGTGTACAAAGAATTTCATTTATGAGTTGTTGTCAATGTATAAAATACCTGTAAAATTATGATCTGTAAAGTGTCTTTGAAGAAGTCTTTGTTAAAAAGGTTACTAAACATGTTTTCTGGGTGGGGATTTGGTAAGGACAGCCTTGTTCAGAGTGGAGAGAAGAAGAGTGTGCGTAAGAAGTAGCCTGAAAAAGACATATAATTGAGAATAAGAAAGGATTTGGAAAGCTGAAGAAAATGAATTAAAGTGAACTGTGAAGCTTTACAGTGAAGAACAAATGGTTGTGTTGGCGCTTAGAGAAGCACTGAACTTATTTCTATCTCCTATTCATTCTCTTTAGTTGAACCTGTTTTGTTACCTCGTACTAATAATATGATTATTTAATTAGTCAACCACTAATAGACCATTATTTCCTTCTTTCTTTTTTTTTTTTTAATTGAAGGAGTATGACTCATTAGCTGGGGTAATTGTTAATGTCATGTTTAATTTAATATTATCCTCCCAGTCTGGTGATATTTAATTACAAATGAAATTGCAACTTTTTCGAAGCTGTCTATTAGCTTGTCTCCATTTTTCTTTGGCTGGTCTCTGGAAATGAAGAGGGAATTTGAGGATGATTCTGAAGACTACATAGAATATTTCACAGTGTTCCATGGCTGAGTCTGTCAAGTCTGCCTTGTTTATAAGCCTTGGAAAGCACATATAAACATAGTTTTTTTTCTGGAATGAGATCCTCATTTGAAAGACAGTATTGTGATGTTTTTAACGTAGGACAAATCTCTCCTATAAGTCTGCTTGAATGACATTTGTTCAACACTGATTGTAGAGAAGACTTTTCTCTAATCAAGAGTCTCCTTTGAAATGTAATAATATGAACCAGAAGTGTTTTAGATACTGCTTTTCTATTTTGGAGGTCAAGTCTCTGTGCTTTATTAATGTTGTTTCACTAGCTTCATTGAGAGCTTTTATCCAGAACAAGAGATGTAAAAGTAGAGCCAAATAGTTCTGTTCACATCACTGAACAAATGTTTAAAGATATTTTACAGTGCTGAGGAAGCATGACAGTATGTTCTGGTTCAGTAAAGGCTTTGCCTAACTTTGAAACATGCATGATAGTCAAGAGAGTGTAACTTTATGCTTTAAGACAGCTAGAAACTTGAGAACTATCCTAATTGAGTATTAAACAATGTTTTGCTGAATGGAGTGCTAGATTATTTGTAGCAAAACCTGTATTAATAAAGTTATATTATTTTTATTAGCAAAACTAGTATATTGGCTAAAAGAGTTTAAAATACCTTCAGAGGTGGTTTTTTTTATTTTTATTTGATTTTTACTTTACCTTGCTTTTCATTGAGTATCATGGATATATTTCTGTTTCATTTGGTGACTGGTTCCTACAATGAGACCGAATTATTTCAGTTTTTTTGCAAAGGATTCAAGGGAGTTTTTTTTTTTTAAACTGTTTCAAACTTACTTCATCACAAAAAATAACCATTCCCTTGGCTTGTTGATAGGAACCGTCAGTTGGAAGGCATCTCGGTGGTAGCGCAGCAGTTCCATGAAGCTCTGGAACCACTGGTGGAGTGGCTGAGCACCACAGAGAAGAGGCTTGCAAATGCAGAACCCATTGGAACACAGGCCTCCAAGCTGCAGCAACAAATTGCTCAGCATAAAGTAAGATACAAACCACTCAGTTGCTTTTGTCATTCTTTTCAATGCTTCTGTAAAGCACAACTGTCAAAACTGTTGCAGAATACCTGTGTTTTACCATACTGGATTTTGTTTGGTTTGTTTTTTTCCCCTGTAGTTTTCAGTTTTATATATTTATGTTGGCAATATGTCCTTTTTCATTCAGTTTTTATTGAGTTCCACTCACATTTCTTTTATGTTTTTCTCATTTTGTTTTCCATTATTTTTCATTATTTAAAATAAAATATAGGCCCTAGAAGATGATGTCCTAGCTCACAATAAGAGTTTACATCAGGCCATTAGCACTGGTCAGTCTCTAAAGACTATGAGCTCCAGGGAAGATAAAGATATGGTGCAGGAAAAGCTAGATTCTTCTCAGGCACGATTCATTGAAATTCAAGAGAAGAGCAACAGCAGGTCTGAACTTCTCCAGCAAGCTTACAGCAATGCTCAGATTTTTGGGGAGGATGAAGTTGAATTGATGAACTGGCTGAATGAAATCCATGATAAACTGAACAGATTGTCAGTCCAAGATTGCAGCACAGAATTGCTTGAGAAACAGCACACTGAACTACTGGTATTTTGATTTCTGTTCATTTATTATTTAATTAATTTTTAAATTTTATTTATATTCTCATACTTTATTTATTTTCATTAATGTATTTGGTTTAAAATGTCAATATCCTTATTCCAAAAAAGAATATTTTGTTATGTCTCTGCTAACACAAATGGCCTTTTGTCATAGGATCTTCAGGAAGAGATTCTTCTTAGAAAACAAAATGTTGATTTGGCTATACAAAATGGCCTAGAACTTCTCAAGCAAACAACAGGTGAGAACTTACATAAAACTATGATTTGTCATACTTTTTTTCCCTTGTACTTGCAGGTCCTTAAGAGAAAATTAAAGTGAAACTTATAAATATTGTTCATATTTGCTGGTTAAAGCAATTATAGTTGTTTATTTTAATAAAGGTTTGAGGTCAAACTAGGGCATGTTTTGGGGCCAATTTTACTACTAATGTAAGTGAGCAAAAGTCCTTTTTTGCCTGTAGAGAATTTTGTCATTGAATCCTTTATTATTTTTAGTGGAAAATTATTCTAGTGAACCTGCATTCCATTCCTAATAGCAAGCTATGGGCATTACTCATAATGGAAGGCTGTTTGGCAGTGGATGCAGTCAGTTCCCTGCAGGCATTTACAGATGAACGAGATACTAAACTACCTTTTAGTGCAAGAGGGAAGCTTTGTCCACTGGAGCTAATACTGTGGGAAAAGTTGCATTCCAGTTCTATACAATGTGTCGGTTTGTAGATCAACATCTGTCCAGATTTTCCTGTACTTCTAAAGTTCTTGAACTCTTTGAGATATACATATGTTTGGGGGGCTGGTGTTATCCTTTTCTCCAAACTTAGACATTATGCATATTCTATAATGACATCTGAACATAGGCTAATAAATTTCAATACATTGTTTTTTCTTTTAGCCTTTTGATCTGTGCTTCAAATGGACAGTAAGGAGGGTGTGTGTTACTGAAATTGAAAGTCTAGTTGATTTTTTTTTGTTGTTGTTCACATTTTCAATACCCCTTTTAAAAGGTTTTTTGTCTTTTATAAGAAGTATTGTGAATTTAAGGGGGAATTTTTTTAACAACCATTTGTTTTAAATATTGGATCTAACTCCTTACTTTCTAATAGTTTAGTAAAGCAGAAAAAATCAGAAGGACAAATCCTGAACTGAAGTAAACTTTGTAGCTCTGTGGACTTTAGTGATGGTAGGGTAATTTAAAAGAGTTGAGGATCGACCTTGTGTTGTTTGGGTTATTTTATAAGTTAAATGCTGAGGGGTTTGTAATATGTGGGGTTTGGGATTTGGTGCCTTTTTTTGTTTTCTTTTTTGTTTTCTTTTTAATATTTGTGATCATGGGAAATAACATCCCTCTCATATTTTAGGTGATGAAGTGGTCATCGTTCAAGATAAACTGGAAGGCATTAAAGCGAGGTACAAAGACATTATAAAATTGAGTTCTGATGTATCCAAGACTTTGGAGCAGGCTCTGCAGCTTGCAGGTCAACTGCACTCAACTCATGAGCAACTCAGCAAATGGCTTGATGAAGTAGAGGTGGAGTTACTCTCCTATGAAACTCAAATACCCAAGGGTGAAGAATTAAGCCAAGTACAAGAAAGACAAAAAGTAGGTTTTAGAATCTGTGCAGTATTTATTGATCTGTGGTTCAGCAAGGTTATGTGTTAACTTATGTTTGACATAAAGTTGTTTTTTGAATAACTGATTCTGGTATCAGATCATTTGACTAAACGCTGCAGTAGTTAAGAATCATACTCCCTTTCCAGAGTCATCTGTTGTAATCACTTATGCAATTGGGCTGAGGTTTACTTTTAGCACAAGAGAAGCACAACATTTCTGTTTTTTTCAAGGAGCTGCCTAATACTGGGAAAACTTTGTTTGACAGCTTATGAGTTATTTTTGTTCTTTAGCTGTGGCATGGATAAAATTCTGTAAAGTATAAAAAAGTCAGCATTTTAAATATATTACTGATTTTGTTAAATTAGATTTGTTGAAAAAGAAAAAATGTAATATAAGCTGCATAGTATAGAAAATGTTGAGGAGGGGAAGCTTAAAAAAAATCCATTATATTTCTTTATATATATATATATATATAAGTAATGAAACCACAGTGGGGAGGGTTCTGTACAGGTAAAGACTCATTCCTTTGTGTAAATATGTGCTTGGAATTTGATCCAGTCATTGTTCACTTAACAAATCACTTGAATTCCTCATATTTTGCTATAATGCATGCTGATTTCACTTGCTGGTGATTTACTTCATTATGGAGTTGCAGTTTGCAACAATCCATTAGTTTTACTTTCTTTGGTTGCTTCATGAAGTACTAACAACTCTTACAAAATTACAAAGAATTTCATACAGTCTTACTGACTGGACAAATACATTTAGGATAGATTCTGTTGAAAATTCTCATTAAGAATCACCCACCTTTCTGTCAAACAACTTCCAGTATCAAAAAGCTAATACAGCTCGGTCGAAAATAAGTATGGTAATGTATCCCTTTGGTTTGTGTGGAAAACATTTCAGTTCTTGACTCATAGTTCACAGAATGAAAACATGTGCAAACTGTGTATATTCCATTCATATATTGCCATGTTGAAATGGTTTAATTGTTTTAAATGGCCTTTTTCAGGAGCTGAAAAAAGAAGCAAAGAACAACAAAGGCTTATTGGACACTCTGAATGAAGTTGGCAGTGCCTTCCTGGAACTTGTGCCATGGAGAGCCAGAGAGGGGCTTGACAAGATGATAACAGAGGACAACGAACGTTACAGATTAGTGAGTGACACGATCTCTCAGAAGGTGGATGAGATTGATGCTGCCATCCTGAGATCCCAGCAGGTACTGAAAACTGTTCTTTGGGCTGTAACAGTCTCTGGCCATGGGTACATGAATGAAAGATGTTCTTTAATAATGTTGCCAAAACTTGTTATGCTTGAGCAGCAAAAGGCCCATTTGAATGAAATGGGACTCCATTTTTAAGATACGAATACCAGAACTCTGTCAATCTGTACACTGTTGTAGTTCTCTGCCTCTTTGTTGGTGCAAACATCAGTATTTTAGTGAAAATTGCTCTATCTTGTGGCTTCTTAAGTGGGAGTTTGTTTAATTAAGAACTGAATGGCCCACATCTTTTGTAAATCATGTTGTGTTAAGTAAAATATGGTTCAGATCCTAAGCCAACTTTACTGGATGCAACACTGATATCTCTAGGCTTGCCACACCTTTTAGCATCAGCTGATTGTCTAGCTCCTCTGCACTTTACACAGTTAAAAGCTGGATTGTCTTATTCAAGCTGTAGTGGAGGATTTATATAACAATTGCTTTTATTCCTGTCTACAGTGCTTTTCTTCTTGGGGCTCAAAAACTGAGTTATTTAATATGTGGAACTTTCTGTACATGCACAGAAACTCTCACTTTAAGAACTGAGTTCTAATTTCATCACTAAATAGTCTCATATTAAGGCCTGCTTATAAATGTATCGTTTTCCAGTGTCTGCCTACAGTTTAGGCATAAAAATGTTGGTGGAGATTTCTATTTCTGCTAATAGTTCCCATAAACAGTTGTAACAGGACATGGAGAAAGCATGTGTGGTAATCTCAATGTTTGCCGAAAGCCGACTAAAAGACACTGGCAGTAATTCAGATTTTCTTCTAACTGAGGTTAAAAATAACTTCTTGTTTCTTTTTAAGGGGTTTGCTATGAATATTATCTTGTCTCACTAACCAAATCCTCAAAAATGAAGGGTGATTTTTTTATTTTTTTTTAAGTGAAGGATAAGGATGAGATAGGAGAGTATATTTTGGCTCTCCTTCAGATTTTTTGAATTCCATGAGTATGTAGCATCCTCTAGCACAAGTTCAGCAATTTCAGGTCCAGGCATGAAAAGCCCAGAGCTGCTATTCCACTAGCTAGTGTTGCAAGGGCACATTGCACCCTCATCCTGCATACCCCTAACTTCCACTTCAGCCAACTCACATCACCGCAATAATCTCCTATACATTATATCCTGTAATAAGTATCAGGTGGCTTAGTGTGCTTCCTGTGAAGGATAAGCTACTTTCCATTTAGATCATGCAAAATAAAAAGCATTTTTGGACAAGCTAGTGTTTTTGTAAACTTGTGATCTGTGCAACTTGTTCAAGTACCTATACTATTAAGAAGTTTTGGGTAGAGGGCAAAGCTGCTAAGAGCACGAGGATTTAATAGGAGTAGTGTGGGCTTTGTGCTAGATGTTACTGGCCCAAGGTGAGAAATGTGGTAGGCTATACGGATGGTTAATAGTGCTTCATGTTGTGAATGGAAGCTGGAAGGCTTAATAGAACTAATGCAATATCCTGGGTTTTAACTACCTGACCAAAATGCTCACAGATGGATAGATTTATCTTAGACAGAAATTTAGCTACATGGTTTAATCTTCATTTCTCAATACTGAAAGCATTGGTTGGGATCCCGTAGTGAAGGAGTGCTATGTAGAAACACAAGGTCATATTCTACTTTTGGCTTACTTGTTCTTCACTCTAAAGCAGCCATAGAGAGTGCTTTAGAAAGCATTCATGGAGCAAATCACAGCATCATCACATTCAGAAGTCAGTCATTCCTCGTTGGAAGAAAAAGTACCACAATGAACTATGCTTGGTTAAACTGGATGGGATTAAGTAAATCATTTCATAGTGACTGAAGGGCTTATAAGTAACCGTCATGCTTAAGGGGAAGAAAACTTTTCAAATTTTGGGTTCAGAGAGTACCAATTTTATGCTTTTTATTCCTTAATGTTGTTTTTAAGCATTACAAATTACCCTTAGAAAACTGAGTTTAGAGTTCTGTGTCTTCTTGGTTCTATTTAACCTAGAAGTTTCACTGTCGTGCCTTGATTTTATTTCCATTAAATATTTTCCAATATTACTTACATACCCATGAATATTGTGTACCAGGCAGTCACACTGCAGTTAGTTTGTACATCTAACACAATTGAAATTACCTTCCACATTTATGTCATAAATAGATGGGCTTCTGAAGAGCTTTGTTATGTACTCTAGTTTCTAAAACCAGGCTTTAACTGGTACATGTGCTTCATGCTGATGTTTATAGTACTGATTGTTTCAGAACATACATATATTAGGAAGTCACAATATTTAGGACAAAACTTACTTTCTCTTACTTTAAATGACAAATGACATATAGTGAAAAAGAATGTTGTGCTCTTTCATGTAACAAATGGATTATAAAGGCTGAAAAAGATTGACTCATAAAGAATGAAATCTCCGAACCACTTGTTTTGTTTTTGTGGGACTCATGTTTAACTACTAAGACAAGTCTGATTTAGTGACTAAAGTGAACTCCAGCTATGTTAAAGAGTAGAGCTGTCATAGTCTACAGCCATAAGACCAGCATATTTCAAGACAAGTGCAACTGAGAGTGTTCAGAAAGAGACTTCTGAGGAAAGTGTGGGTATCAATAAACACAAGTAGCAGCTTCTGACCTAAAATGTCCTGATAGACTTTTACAATAACTCAGGGCCATATTAGTGTCAGCTAATTTCAGTGGGGTCAGAGTTTTCACTAATTTAAAAAATAAAGTCTTAGTAGTTTCTACATTGTGCATCTGATACATCCATGTAATATTTCTCTATGGCTTAGGCTCAAAGCTGCCCTGGTTGAGCTGCAACATATGTATGCTAAGATGCATGCCTATAAACTTGATCTGAAGAGAGAATGAGTGATTTTTTTTTTTTTTTAATGTTGTATTAGATTTCAGAAGACTTAGATCCCCACACACTCTTCTTCATGCTCTTTTTTACCAATTAGTAAGAAACAGGTTCTTTAAGTCCTCTGATTACGTTAGTGTTTTGAGGTAATTTCTGAAACATTTAAATGTTGAGTAATTGTAGTCAGAAATTAATCATTTAGGATAGGACGGGCTGCACCTAAATGCTCACAAAAAATTTTTACATTTAATCTGAGGTCTGGTTTTGGATGAAGTCCTGCCTTCTCTGAATTCAGTGAGGTTTTTGCCCTGACTTAGTTGAACTGGGATTGTTTTGCCTTGATCATTTAATACCAAAGCAGCTCTCCAGATTAATAGGGCAACATCAAATATCTGTGTCTCAGGATAATTGCAACACTAGCAATAATAATAAACAGAGAGATGGAAAAGACATGTGAAAGTAGAATAAAATGAAAATAAACAGTCTAGTTAAAATTCTGAGATTATAACCCTTTTTTATTTTCTTATGACTGCTGGAGAGCTGTAGGCTTTGGAAAAAAGTATTTGCTTCTGTTGCTTTGTCATTCTAATGAATTAAGATGCTTGTATTACAATCCCTCAGAACCATTTTGGGCTTTGTATTTCATTATATAAAAACCTCAAATGTAAAGTGAACCACTATCTTTCTAACAATTCGAAAGTATACTCTCTAGTCTTCTTTAAAATTTTTGAAACAGTTATTCTAATTTCATGTCTATGGAACTGCTGAACTAATTGATGTCTCCCTCATTTAGTTTGATCAAGCAGCTGATGCTGAATTTGCCTGGATTGCAGAAACAGAAAAGAAACTGATGTCTCTGGGTGATATTAGACTTGAGCAAGACCAGACCACGGCTCAGCTGCAAGTTCAAAAGGTAAAAGAAATGCGTTTCCAACTGTCATGTTAATTATTGGCCGGCACACTCTCCATCTAGAAAATGTACTGGCATGATTTAATTTTCAGTCCATCATAATTAATGAACTTCAAAACCCAGTTTTTGCTCCATTTTTTTTTTTTTTTTATTCTAACCATTTTTTCTTGTGTTTCAAGGCTTTTACCATGGAGATTCTAAGGCACAAAGATACCATAGATGAACTTGTTAAATCTGGGGATAAGATTATGAAAACATGCACTGAGGAAGAGAAACAGATGATGAAGGTAAAATTCCTTAAATTGCAGCTACAGTGGTAGATATGCAGACAATATATAAGTAGAAGTATTCCTGTAATGTCTTGTTTGAAATACTACTGAGAAAGCATTAATTACAATCACTTCTAGTCAGAGGATTGTAGTACTAGAGAAAATGGTGCTGTGTATCCCTCTCCTTCCTTCAGGGTGTTCAAAGAGCAAACACTGTGTACTTGCTTCATTGCCTGACACTAATTTGTAGCCCCATTTATCATCTTAGACATCTGTGGTAAATAGTATTTTAGCCTATAGATGATTGAGTGAAGAGGTATTAGTCATCTGGGATGGTGTGTGGAATCTGGCTGTTTATCTTCTGAGTTCTTTTGGGTCAGTGACGCTCTGGGCGTTTGCGTTTCTGTGCCGGATTCAATGGCTGTGCACCTCGGTGTGAATTTTTACTTTCATTTCTGCTGATTTCCGTATAGGCCTTGCTTGCCAAGATTATTCTATCCTGTTGACTGTCACAGCCCATGAAAGGCATTCTTATGCCTTTGTTTATTACACACACACACAGAGCCTAATGTTGGGGCTGCAAACACGTACAGATGGATTTTTTGTGTTGGCTGTTGGCTTTAAGAAGGATTAGTTGTGTGGTTGGGATTTTTTTGCTAAATTACGGTGAGGCTGAATATGTTGTGTAAATTTAATCCTTCCGATGACCACCCTCCTTGAACAGCAATGCTTCAGTAATTGTTCTCTGCTGCAAGAACTCTGAATAAATTTGATTTGCTTCTAAGTGAATTTAAAATAGATGAGAAGTTCTCTCTATGAAACTGTAGTCATAAGGGAGAGCACTTTTGTGGGAGTCTCTATTGAATAGTTTTATTTGTCAAAAATACTGTATATCTGTGTATTAGACTAGATTTTGTCCTCTGGATAGCATCTCTTTATTTAATTTATGTGCAAGACATAACAAAGGAAAGAATAGCTTGTTAAGCCAAAAAAAAATTCTTTACTTCACATTCAAAGGCTTGCTTATATGTCTAGTTTTATCAAGGCTAGGATTTATACGCATTGTCATATACATAATTTTTCATAAACTTGATAGCATGGGCAGTCTTCCACAGGAAAAATGTATGGCTAGTTGATACTTTCTTTTATCATCACATGCCCAAATACAGTAGATTTGTAATGTTTAAACCTTATAGTTCTATCACTGTTATCTATGTTATTAATGTTAATACATTCTCATTAAGTAATATACGCTAACCTGGAAAATAATATTTTACGCTTGGTTTTGTAAGTTTGTGAACTACAAGCACAACAGTATAAACTATTTTCTTGCCAGATTAAAAAAGGAGCCCCAAATCCAACAGCCCAACAGATTTTGTGTATTGTTCATGCTGCTTTGATTCAGAAATGCTGTGGAAAACTTAATTTCTACCAAGTGTCACTGAAGATAAGCATCTGCAGTAAGGAATTGGGGCTAAGATCTGCAGTCAGATCATTTACAGCTTGACTGGAAGCCCTATGAGTAAAGTATTATTTGTAAATTACAGTATCATTAAATATATTCTAAATACTTTGCAAGTACTCTGCCAAATTCTGATCTGCCACATTATTGATTCTGTCCACTTTAAACACTGATACTGTGAAAACATTATCAAAACTAAAATTTGATTCGCTGTGAATTGGTGCTATAATTATCAAAGAAGGTTTAGAAATGAAGGTAGTGGACACATGGAAAAACATACATTGGGGTTTTTATTAATATTACTTTACAGAAAAAAATGGAAAGCCTCTTACAGAAATATGATGCAGTCTGTCAAATGAACTCAGAGAGAAACCTTCAGCTGGAACGGGCTCAGTCCCTGGTTAACCAGTTCTGGGAGACTTATGAAGAACTTTGGCCATGGTTAACTGAAACGGAAATGATCATCTCTCAGCTTCCTGCACCAGCCCTTGAATATGAAACTTTAAAGCAACAACAAGAAGAACACAGGGTAAGCATTTTGCGAGTTTTGGAAAATGAAGAGTCAAAACCCAGGAAGTAATTTGCTAAAACTCTGCAGTACTCTGCAAAATGCTTAAAATCCAAACAGATATTCTTCTGTTGAAAATACATTATTATTTAAAATAATAATACAAAGTAAATATATTTTTGATCGTTCTTCTACTGTTTACCAAACTGTGCATGCAAACAAGAGTCTCTGGAGAAGGCAGCAAGTGATGTATAAGCATAAAAGAAGGCTAAAGGAGAAAAAAATTACCATTGTACTGAGAGAACTGAGCACTTAAGTTATTAGTTAAGAAGTATATTTGAAAATACACATTAATGTCAGTATTTGAACAAACCACCCATAAACAAAAAGAACAGGCATGAGTTGTTGGAGCAAGGAACAAAAAGGGGGTACAGTCTGTATACAGATATGCACATGTGTTGATCTTATGCACATATAAAAAAAATTTAGGTTTTATTTTGTTAGTTACATTGAAACTACACTTACCTGAGTCAGGAAGATGGACAATTAGAGAGCCAAAAATTGCTTGCTTGGATCCAGCCAAATAGTTTCTCATGTCAAGAATGTTTGTTATGTACTAATTAAAATAAATAATTGTTTACCATAACATCACAAAATAGAGGCAACAGTGTTGTAGACTGGCCACTGTGTGGGCTCTCTTACATGGATATACAATCAGCTGGGATAAAAATTAGTATATCTCAACAGTGACTACTGTTATCACATGGAATCAGATGTATCCCACTGAGGTTAAAATCCTGCATGTTTTGGCACATGCAAAATCTGTATGGCCATTGGAGATACCTGTCTCTCCCTGCTAGCATAGTTTTTCTTTGATTATTTTAGCTGCCTCAATTAAGTGACTCAAGTTAGATAGGATGAACGCTGGCTTCAGAGTCTTGTTTACTCTGAGACCAGCTGATGAAATGTGCCACTCTTATGTACTGGTAAACACTGGGTTCACTCATTTGTCTTCCTATTATGTCCAGAATGAACAAACAAGTTCTGTTAAGACTAGCTATATAACATGAGCTTTACAAGCTATCTTGATTAGTCACCATGAACCATATCATGCTTGCTTTACTTGCAGGATTGTTCCTCATCTACTTTAATCATGCTGCTTCCATGAGAGGCCTTTCGGATGAGCTTCTATTTTTGCGTTTTCCCCGGGCTATGCCATTAGCTGAGATTTGTTTGTTAACTAGAAGATTAATGTTAGGCCCTCTTAACATGTAATCTGCTCCTAAACACTTGTTTACTGGAATTGTTTACCCAATAGTAGATCATGGGGAAGACCAAATCATTCATTGTTCTGTTAAAAAGAAGAAGGGAAAAAGGTCGTTTTCAGTGTGAATTGACAACTTAACATTTCTGTTCTGATGTATTTACTGATGACTATCTTTGTTCCAAGTTGTGAAATTCATAGACTTGATTCTGTGTGAGTAACATGCAGTCAGTTTGGTTTGAAATGAGCTGTGGGCAGAGTATTAGCATAAGGTTTGGACCCAGAAGTGTCCATTCCTGTGGCCTTGTGTCAAATCATCTCTGTGCTCAAAAGTAAAACACGTGAAATTATTTTCTAAAAACTTTAAAGCTATTCTTAGTTTCGCCTTTTCCTCTTCTCTGCTAATCAACATTATTTTTCTTGTGGCAAGGTATACAAATAGAGTTACATTCAAAGTAAGTAGTTAGAATCAAGGGAGGGTTATATTTTCATTGCTATTTGGACTGTGAAGAATCGTGGTCACTGTCTTTTCAGCCTTCTCAACCTCTGTTCTTCTGGGGAGGAGCAAGGAAGCAAGCCAGGATCAGGATTTCTTTTTAAGGGAAGGACCGTAGTTGAAGAGAAGAGAATTTATTTACACTGAGACTGATATAGGCCCTTTTCTGTGTCTTCATTAATTTAAACAAACTCTCAGCTGAGAGGAACAGCACATGTGTCTCTCATATCCCTGTGCAGGGGCTATAGGATAGAACACATGAAGTTCATGGCACTGAGAGGGACAGTGCCTCGCAAGATAGTGGATTTTTCTGAAAAGGGAGGTAAAATATGAGAAAGTAAATAAAATGAGGGAAGGATGGGGCTATTCCCACAAAAAAACTCTTTCCCTTTTGTCAGTTCTATGGGCGCAAGGAAGAAAATCTGAAACCCTTAGACAAGTTGGAAGACACATTATGACATTTTGCTTCCACAAGCCTCTGCTCAATCTTTGGCACAGTTTTGACTTCAGGGGTGGATGATGAGAGGCAGTAGACAGATGAGGTCAAATTTAATTCACTTACTAATTACTTGTTAAACATGGTGTCAGTAAAATAATAGCGCTGTTATGAAGACAGAGGGGTCTTGTGGCCAGAGACTGCTAAAGTGGGTTGATAAGTCTCTACTGATCACCCTTCCATGTCTTTTTGTCCTTTCACTTATTTCTTTGACTCTCTGTTGTGCTGGTTACCTCTTCTTAAATCAAGGATAATTTGAATTAATTTTCTTGCAATGCCAGTACCTCTTTCTGTGATGTTCCTCAATGAAAGGCTTTGCAGCAAGTGACCAGTATCAACATGAAAAGTATACATGTGGTGGTGTTACGCCCATGTCTGGAATATTATTGCCATTTCTGTTATTATAGGTACTAAATATGATGAGGACTGTCTGTTGTTAGCATCATATGCATAGTTAGCATCTTACATTTTACCTGTAATCATATATCCTACCAGAATGTTGCGCAGGCATTTCCAGTGTGTCTCTAATTCTGATGTTTTATGCCTGGATAGCTCTCTGTTGGAATGGGAATGATCACTGGCAAAGCAGTCATTAACTTTTATTTCTGCTTTATATTAGGATGAAGGGTATTTGTTTAGAATTTCTTGCCAGCTGGATGTGTTGGAAGTGTGGACAGTTGTAATGTGGTGGTGCAAGCATAAGAAACTGATAAGTTGTTTCATTTGTTATAGCAACTGCGTGAGCTGATCGCTGAGCACAAGCCTCATATAGATAAGATGAACAAAACTGGGCCTCAGTTGCTGGAGCTGAGCCCAGGAGAAGGTTTTTCTATCCAAGAGAAATATGTGGCAGCTGACATCCTTTACAGTAAAATCAAGGAAGATGTCAAAAAGCGAGCACTGGCACTGGATGAAGCCATTTCTCAGTGTACCCAGGTATCAATTTAAGTTTAAAATATAATTGGGTTCATTCAATGGAAAAATACACATTGTCATTTTATATGTATATATCAAGACTAAACTGCTGCTTCACCTGGATTTTTCAACCTAATGGCCTGCAAATGTTCATATCACAGCTAATGGCATTGATTTTTCTATTTCTTGAGAGGTTATAATTTTATATATTGGTCAGTATTATGACTTTGTAGCAACTGAAAAATGTTATTGCTACTTAATTTTGAAGTAAAAAATCAAGAAGTCTAAAAATGTGGGATTTTATTTTCACTTTTGTGTTCTCTTACTGATCTGTTAGTAGCTGATGCTTAATTTTTAAATGAATGTCACTTTTGATCAGTTAATTTAAGTATAGTTATTTCTAGAAATTGGCAACTGAAGTTAGCAGAGAGTTACCAGTGGAACTAGAGGGTAATTTAGCAGTATTAATAGCATATGCTCTTCACTGCAGACCCAAAGGAACTTAATGTAATATATACTGAAACTGTTACAGAAAAGTATTACGAGCAAAGTCAGACTTCACAAAACATCATCAGCATAAAATTCTGGTCAGGTCCACAGATGCAGCATCTTCATTTCATAGCTTCACCAGCCTATGAAATGAACCTAAATAGAGGATTGTCAGGTGTTGCACTCTAGCAATTATTGAGTAATTATTGAGTAATTATTGAGTTAATTGCCATTAAATCCACACTGAACTTCTTTTAGTCAACCCCAAATTTCAGAAAAGAACTTGGTAAAACTTTGTACATAAACCCATACAAAAGCCTGAATAAAAATACTTTGTTTTATGCTGGTGTTTTAAAAGGAAATTCCCCTCTTTTCCCTGTTCACTGGAAATTAAGTGCTATATTCTGTTAAGATCTTAAATACTAAATAAAGAAATACACCTTGAAGTGCTTATCGAGTCTACATTGTAAATAGTTTTTGTCAGGTTGTTGTACTTAATGTCATATTCCTAGCCCCTGGAGACTGAGTTTAAGAATGTGAGGCAAAAATAAGTGACATCGCATGTCATCCTGCTTTTGAACTGGTTATATGTATATAACATATAGATATATACACATGTGTGTATATATATATATATAAAATGTATATACATTTTAAACAACCCTTATTCATACCTCTGAAAGATACCTGATTATTTAGATGCTGTGTTTTTCTATGTCAGAAATGCTTGGTCCTCCCCATATTTGGAGCTGCCTATTTGAAAATCAAGATATTTACTTAGTATTCGAGTCCCTGTTTTGTATGTGATAGACATCAACATATTGTACTGGCTAAGTACGGAAAGCAAGAATTAGAAATGCATTCTTTGGTAACACCTAAAATATAATCAGATGTTGAGAAAATACTTAATTATTTATGCAGTACTTTATGGTTCATTTTATATACCTAAATGTATATGCAAATGACAAAGCAAAACATTGTAATGTCTACAGAATGTAATTATATATAATCTTTTTTTATTAAGATACGTAAATATATATTATCACAGCTCTGTACTATGATGTCTATGTCAATGTTTGTCTAGACATTCCTTGAAAAATAATTATTTAACTCTTCAGGTTTTAAATTATATTAAATTGCATTATGTATCAACGGAAGGGCATAACATATTAAGGTAGAATTTTCTTCCTTTTAAGTTCTAAAACACTGTCTCATTCATTGAGCTTGAGTACAAGGAGGGCCACTGAATGCACTGACAACTTAAAAATATAATATATGTCTTAAAATTAGACCTAAATATTGCCAATTTAATTTCACTTTTTATAATTTTTGTAAGGTTTTGTTGCCACAATCAGTTTTTCAGAAGTCTTGAATGTGGGAAGGCTACTTATCTTTCATAACACATTTTGCTGGCTTGTATGACATTCACACTTCTAACAAAAACACTGAGTGCCATAACATTAGTCACAGAATCTGATTTGAAGTGGGTTGTGTGGTAGGAAAAAGTAGTTACATTTATATTGCCTATGTTCCTTTGAATAGAAAGGATGTAGCTATTTGTTTACATAAGATAATCTTGTTTTGCTGTGCTCTTTCTAGCACCTTTCCCAAGTGTTGTTAGGAGTGCTTTTTGTAGATCCTGGAGGGTCATTAAATGCACCCGCGATTTATGGATTTCTTTAATTCGAAAAGGGGCATGGTGGTGTGAGATTTTAGGAATCTCTGTGAATCCAAAAGCATATTAGTAAAGGCTAACTTTGGACCTATGCCAAAGTTTGAACCATATTAACACAGCTGTAATTCAGTTTCTGAGCACCTACCTGGGCTCAGTCAAACATGGATGAATATACTACATACACTATTGTGTGCTTTCAGTTTCAGAAGGTAACATACCTTTACTGCACGAGCAAACACTACCTGTCCACTAAGAAATGTCTTTTTGAATGATCTCACATATCAAGCCCTAATCGATGGTATGTTGGTTGTAACAGGAAAATGTATATATTTAATTGTAAGGTAAATATTTTTCTAAATGATGAAATCAGAAAGCCATTTCTCCCTAAAATAAGCTACCACTACTTTATGAATTACACAGGACTAAGTGCAAGTAAATTCTGCTGTAGTTCAGAGGAAGTGTCTCAGGACTGAACACCAACTTAATAGTAAAATTTTTAAATTTGACAGCAGGTACCATTTTGCAAGGTTATTTTTGCAATTTAGATATTAAAAGAACCAGGAGGGGGGCATTGCAAGTTGCACATATGTATGTTTGATAGAGATGATAATTTTAAAGTACCTTTTTCCAAGGAACTTCAGATGCCATTTTTCGTGTTTGGGGTTTTTTTTCCTAACTTCTCTTCCACTTCTTTCTGTCCTTTACCCCCTCCCAGTTTCATGACAAGATAGATCCAACTCTTGAGAGTCTGAAACGCATAGCTGAACGTCTGAGGCAGCCACCTTCAATCTCGGCAGAGGTTGAGAAGATTAAAGAGCAAATCAGTGAAAATAAGAATGTATCTGTGGATCTGGAAAAACTTCAGCCAGTGTATGAGACGCTTAAACAGAGAGGGGAGGAAATGATTGCTCGCTCAGAAGGCACTGATAAGGATATATCTGCTAAAGGTAGTAGACTGAGGAAACTTTCATGTAGTGGAAATGGAGTAAGCCGCAGCATTATAAAATTCTTCATTTCTGATGACCACTAATCTGGGGAATGTGTTCTTCTGGAGAAGCTGCTAAAGATTTATAAAAGCAAAGCATTCATTTAAAATAATTAATTGTGGATATGACCTTTGTTTTATTTTTAAAGGCTACAGTGTTTGTTTCCATTTAACGTTAAAAGGAGTCCTATAAAGAAACAATTTTAGAGTCTAAATTTAAAAATGTACACATATGTTTCTGCTGTAGAACTAGAGAGAGATTTATGACCAAGAATTGTTTGCCAAGGTAGTAATCTAGTTCCTTTGTTGTTTAGCTGTTCAAGATAAACTGGACCAAATGGTCCTAGTTTGGGAAGACATCCAGACTTTGACTGAGGAAAGGGAGGCCAAACTGTTGGATGTAATGGAACTAGCTGAAAAGTTTTGGTGTGATCATATGGCTCTTGTAGCTACTATTAAAGATACTCAGGACTTTATTCGAGAACTGGAGGGACCTGGAGTTGACCCATCTGTAGTCAAGCAACAGCAAGAAGCTGCAGAGGTCAGTAGAAAGTAATTTGTTCATTTGAAGTACTTTATTTATGGTATGCAGATGAAAAACAGAATTACTATGAAATACCACAGGAGGATATATTGTTTGTTAGAGACCAAGAGGGATAATTGTGTAGAAATTTACAATAATGGTATCTCAAGAGTCTACTGTAAATAACATGTATCAGTGCTTAATTGCAATAAGCATGCAACATGTGCTTGCTATTATATTTCCTTATTTGTTTATAAACATATGTATAATAACCATGTCACCAAGACTCTTAAAAGTTATACATACTTTAAATTCCTTGAGTACTATGTAACATCTAAATGAAAGGTGTACAAATGTATTATGCTCTATGAATTATCCTCTAAGCCTGTAATCACTTATGCTGATAGTTAAAGATTTAAAGGTTGAATGATAACCTCTGACAAAGAAGACACTCTGATTAAAGAAATCTAATTTAAAACTTCCTGTTTATTTTTTCCATCTCCTGCAAAATGATATCATAAGTCATTGTTACAATTTAGACTGATGTCAGCTGATTTCACTCTGATACTTCAAAGGGATGCTTGTATTTTAAGTGTCCAATTGTAAGTCCAAGTGACCTGAAAGAAAACAAAGGTGGAATTCTGCTATGTTTTATCTTGAAAGCAAGTTGTACATAGATTATTAAATTTAGTAATAGCAGTGTTGGATTTTTTTTCTCTTTGTAGGCTGCTAAAGAAGAAATTGATGGACTACAAGAAGAACTAGAAACAGTTGTGAGCCTTGGCTCTGAACTTAGAGCTGCTTGTGGAGAGCCTGACAAACCTATTGTAAACAAGAGTATAGATGAGGTATGGGAAATGCATATGCTTAGGTCTGTTATGTTCAGCTGAAATTGGTATATTCCCCATGCCCCCAACAAATTTTGAAAATAAAAATTTTGTGGCAAAAGTGAGACACCCTGAAGTTCTTATGGTAAAGTAGGATTTGCCTTTTGAGTAAACGAATCTTAGATTAGATTAGAATGTACTGACTGTTTTATTTCAATGATTTTTAGTAAAAGACAGACATTGATTTTTCTGTAAAAGATTTTTTTTTTAAATACTCACTGATTAATATGGTAGATGACTACTTCTTGCAAAAGTAATGCTTGAATAAATTTCGGATACATCTGGTTTATGCCCAGTGAGATATTTTAACCGAGACAATCTCGTTTGGATGAATACAAAGTACTTTTAATATTTCTAGTGTTCTACAATGTATTATTCTTTTAAGCTACTTTTATTATAATGATTGAACTCTAAATGATTTAGTAGGATTTCCTCTCTTAACTATCATTTCTATGTTAATAAAAATATTCAATCAGTATTGAAGGTTAGAGCTTTTGTAATCCGGAACCTCTAGTGAATTCTGAAAGAAACTAGATATGCAGTGATAGGGAGAACAAGAGCATTAGTATGGAATGAATATGAACTATTCATGCTTAGTTAATTAGTGTTATTGATCAGTGAAGAATTAGTAAATGCTTATTATACAGCGGTAAAATTCTTTTGTCCATGGGAATAAATTGCACTTACTTGCAGCTGAATTCTGCCTGGGATGCCCTAAACAAAACATGGAAAGAACGGGTTGATAAGCTTGCTGAAGCTATGCAGGCAGCTGTTCAATACCAAGATGGACTGCAGGTAAGATGATGTGATATACCTAACCCGGTCTTGAGTCAATGCTATTTAATGTGGTTGTAGTAAAAAATGTTATGTGATTAGGTAGGTGACAAGTAATGTATCACTGATTGTAGTGACTATTTTCTTCAGGAGGCAGGTATTTTTTCTCAAGATTGGTTGGGGTTATTTTGTTGGGGAGGGTTTTGCATTAAAGAATAAATCTGTTGGGTTGTTTTCTTCATGTGTGTTTTCTTCATGTCCATATATTGCACTGTGTTTAGATTAAAAATTAATGTCTCCGTGTTTATTGATAAGAGCAGAGGGTTTTTGATAGCACACATTCATAGTAATCCTGCTCACATTTTCTTGTGATAGTTAGTGCTTCACATGCTATGCAAGATGAAGTTGTGACACATCTTCATGATCTGAAAGGAACAGATTACAAGTCCATATACTAGCTTGCTGCTATTTTTTTTTTTGAATGGAGGACGGTTAAAGGACTTGAATTTTATTCCAATTCTTTTGTAGGTCAGCTAGTCAAGTTTCTATATTTTAAACATAAAATATTATTAACATAATGTTGCTGGACCATTATACTCAGTATAATTTATCCTATCACAATACTTTAGAAGATGATTTAAATCTGTAGGTAAATTTTCCAGCAGCTTTTCAGGTTTTTTAAGATGTCTTGTAGATTGTACTTCCTACAACTGATGAAGTTTTAAAAAAAATTATAAGGGGGGGTTGGACTAGATGACCTTTAAAGGTCTTCCAGCCCAAATTATTCTTTGATTCTATGTCTTTTCTCTTTATGAGCTGTTGGAGTTTTTTTGATTTTTTTTTTTTTGCTTGGTGAAATTACTGTCTTCTTTGGTTCATTAAAATTGTTAAAATTAAATTTCACATGACAGTGAGGGCAGTTACTTCTGTATTTGGTGCAGATCAAGCAGCAGAACACTGCTTAAAATAATGCAACATGCCTGTTTTGCAGTGCATCCTCACTTAGTATTTTTCTCCAAGTTCTCCCATGTTCATACTGTGCAGAGATTGACTAGACAATTAGGAAAATAGCCATTGGTTTAAGTGCTTTCTATTTCCTTTGACTGTACATCGTACATCCTACAAGCTTGGTACTTTGCAAGAACTGAATTTAAGTGCTGTCTTGCACTCATTTCAATAGACAATGTGAAAAGTATTATGGACATATTGTTAACTGCAGCTGCCTCATCGTGTTGAGTGTGTTGGGGGTAGTTCTCCTTTTCCCAGGGAGCTGTGTAGCAGTGGGCAAGTTCAACAAGTTGTCCTAAGCCTTTCTTCATAATGATATCTCTACACGTAATAGGCAGGAGGAAAAGGGCCTAGCAGAGGTGGTTTTTATCCTGTGCAATTACGCAGATTGATGCAGCTGTTCTTAATCTATGTGAAATATTCTTGGGGTTCTGCACTGTATCAGGAGCAAAAGAAATAGCCACAAAGCATCAGAACTGGGGAGATGTTACTTATTTTTTAAGTTATAACTGCATTATCCTATGGAGATTCATTCTAGCTCAGTTATGGTCCTTCACCACCTAATATGTACTGAATGCGTAGTTCCATGTTTCTTACACAAATAACATTCTTCAAAAACAGTTTGCTTGTAATCCTCATTTAAGGCATGTTATCTACCACCTTGCATTTTCACTCCAAACAACTGTAGAACAGAGTTGTCTTGTATTTACCTTCTAGGGTATTCATAAAAATTGCAGATTTTACACAAGAAGTAGAGTGCAACTCAGCAGGAATAATTCTGTGAGAATGTTGCTGCTAATAGAAGTAGCAGCTTGTACATTCAGTCTTGCAGCTTGTACATTCCTGTAATTGTTACATGGATACTTGACATTTGTTCTATTGTATTGCAAAATAAACGTTTTTGCTGAGAAAGTTATTTTCTTTTAAAAAGCACAGCAATACCTTCTCTGGAATGAAAAAAGAAAAAGTTCTGATATTTTACTTAATACAACTTTCAAACATGACAGTATTTCTCTGCTCACACTTGAATTTCCTTCTGTGATTTTCAGGCACTGTTTGACTGGGTAGACATTGCTGGCAGCAAGTTAGCATCTATGTCCCCAGTTGGAACAGATCTGGAGACAGTGAAGCAGCAAACTGAGGAACTTAAGGTATGAACTAGTGATTTATTTGTTTTATATTTACATCTGTCTGCATTTATCTGTGTTGTTTAGTATTTTTTGAGGGTCAAAAGCAATTTTCATTTTCAATTTCTGCTAAAAAAGAATCTCTATGAAAATTTCTGAATATTTCATTGCAAACTTTTCATTTTAAAATGTCCTTAATTTTAAAATCTATTCCAAATTTTGGTGAAACTACCATTTTATTTTTTAATACAGTCTGATAGCCCAGAAATACTTTTGGCATCATTCATTCTCTTTCAAAAGCTATAAGGTTATTATGTACAGGGTTCTTTTGCTATGACCTTTATGTTTTCTGGTTTCTAATGAGAACAGATTCTTTGAGGCTCTAAGCAAATGCCTCCAAAGCTTTGCTTCTGCCATTATAGGCTTTATCTAAATGCTCACACAGGTCATGACATTCCCAGTACATGAGTAAGGTGAAAATAAAATTTTCAGGCTAACTTAGAAACCTATCTGCATGGGTCTGGATCTGTGACTGAATATGCCTCTGATATTGGTAGGCTGTTATGCTGTATTTAAAAAGCAGGGATGTATAACAATCAGAGAATGTTCTTGGTTTTGTTGCTTACTTGTAGATTTTGTTGGCTGTGGGTAGGTTGTTTTATCTATTTTATGATGTAACTTCAAATGAATCATAACCTTACATAGTTCAGAAAAACATATGTGTGCAGGTTGTATTCAGACTGCTGCACAAGTTATGTGTACAAGAGGGTGTTCTAGTAAAGGAAAATTGCTTTCAGTTCTTTTGAAGAATAATTCCATTTGAAGTTTAAAGCATTATCCCATTACAGTCACAAGAGCTAGAACATAGAATTATAGAATTGCTTGTGATACATTTATTTGTATTCTTTTTCTATTTACCATAGCAATTTAAGACAGAAGCTTATCAGCAGCAGATAGAAATGGAAAGACTAAACCATCAGGCAGAACTATTGCTGAAGAAGGTAACACAGGAGAGTGACAAGCACACAGTTCAAGACCCTCTCTCAGAGCTCAAAATATTGTGGGACAGTCTAGAAGAAAAAATTATAAGTAGACAGGTAAATATGCTTGGAGGTGGGGGCTTTATTCATGACTCAGATTTCTGCAAAAAGATCTTTGTTATGTATAAGGTTTATATTTACACATTCCTTTTAGTTTGGAAATTACAGAACTATATGTAATAGAATTTGAATTTTACAATTCATTGAGGAGTTTTTATGTTTTTTTTTAAAAAAACCCTTTCTAAATTCTCTATCAGCAGTGCCCATTGAATCATTATTATTTTGTTTGGTAGCAGTTGAAAACATGTTTATATGGGCAAAAGTAATATTAGCTGCTGAACTGAGCACTTGAAAAAACCCCCAACAACTTAATATTTAACTATTTCAGTGTTCTTTCCATATATTATCCAACTGAGAGATTTAAAGATGCAGTGCTTTGTAGTGTACTGTTTTTTCTAAACTGGATCATTCCATGACAGAGAAAAGATTTTAAAAAGATCATGCACTGAATTGCATTTATATTGAAATTATGTTTTAGTGATGAAAAACTACTGACATACCTGATGAGAGAACCTTCAAACTTAACTCTACCCTAGTTGCATGGCTTCTTCCAATGTCAGGAATTTAAGCCTGGAATGTAAGGCTTTACAGCGGAATTGCCAACCCAGCTTTAGTTTTAAAGCAGTTGCTTGTGCTGGATAACTGTTTCTCCCTGGTTTTTATGCTATCATATGCATGGACTCTGCTCTGGATTATGGTGACTAATGGTAATATAAGACAATTCAATAGCACTGTGAAACTATTTTATGGTAAATTTTATTTTTACTATAGCACAAGCTGGAAGGTGCCTTGTTAGCCTTGGGGCAGTTCCAGCATGCCCTGGACGAGTTACTGACATGGCTGACACATACAGAAGACCTGCTGAATGAACAGAAACCCGTGGGTGGAGACCCCAAGGCTATTGAAATTGAACTTGCCAAACATCATGTATGTAATTATAATGAATATTAACTGAAATGTTCTTTTGATATTTATCTTCGGGATGAGTATTGTAAAACTTGATAATTCTCTTCATAAATTTCCAAGATGTGGATTATAGCTGAAATGCAGGCTTGGAATAAATAGTATCTTTCCTCTTACTCCTCCACATTCCTTCCTTTCTTGCATATGCTATGCAAGTGGCATAGGTTTTAGCCAAAAAAGAGCTGCTCACCCCAGTCTCTACCTCTAATCACCTTCATTTGACCTCGGGAACTCAAAAGTTACTGCACCTGCTACTCTCCATGAAGCAATAAAGTTGATTATTTTTGTTTAAGCCAGGTTTCACAAACTGCACAGCTGTTGCAGATCTCTGGTTCTTTATTCCTTCTCAGAACGTAGCCATTTGTTGTTCTGAATTCAGCAGAATTGTATTTCATTTGGGTCCAGCTAACACTGAGAATGCTTCTATGAAAATCTCTAAACCCCTCATCTTTTTTTCTTTGTTACTTACAATATAGAGTTAACTTTTTAGTTTTTTGGTTTAGTATTTTTACTCATCACTGTGACTTTGGAACCCATGGAAGAATGCTTCCACTATTTCTTTGTTTTGAAGAGTATCTCCCAGGAGCAAGAGATCTTCCCTACCTCTTTGTAAGACACTGCGGTTCATGATGGTGTATTCTTTCTAGGTTTGAAGATTTTAATCTAACCTCATATAGCCCCTCCTTTTAAATCTGCCATTTAATTTTTGGCCTGCATACGATGTGAAAAGTATTCAGAGTTCATTTTGGATTTTGAAAGAACTGATTGAAATTGACAGTACACAGATAATTAAGGTATTTTCATTGTCTGTGTTAATGCAGTTATGCAGCTTCTGAAGGCTTATGTGTGGTTAGTTGGAATTTGAGCAGAGCACAATATCTACATGGCCTATGTGACTACTGTTACAAACAGGCCCTTTCAAAACAAAGTAAATAGGATTACAAAACCAGGTTCTGCTCCATGAACCTTTTATATTTGTACCTAATGGAAGTGTTTTACTAGTGAAGAAGCATCCAGACATCATTTATGTCTGTGATGAAGGACTTCAGCAAACACATGAATGAATCTACTTCCTTTTCATAATACAGAGTTTATAGGTTAGAAAGTTCACACAGTAGTGCATCCTGTGGTAGCCTGGAAAAACATCCATCCCTTGAATAACTTCGGAAAGAATAGACCTTGTTCTTAGTGAGTCTCAGCAGGAAGGAAGGGATAAAGATGCATCTGCTTCTGTAGATATCCCTTTTTTCACCATTAGGAGAATAAAATAATAATAATCTTCTAGTGCTTAGCTTAAAAGAATTAAATGTGATGAGTATTTTGTATTCAAGGGCTACTTGTGACTTGCTGTTTCATTATGTGCTGTATATAGTTTATTTTACAATTCCTTTGTATTTAGCTTTATATTTTTTCCATATGCTAGCATTTGAGGTAAGTTTGAGTCAGACCCAATGGAAGTTAGTAGTCATGAACTTGAATTTCTTAGATAGGATTTACCATTCCCTTCCCAAACATTTTTCTTATTTATTTTTCTCTTTCTGTTCTTTTTTGTTCTATATTAAAGCCTTCTTTTCCTCCCCTGTCCTTTTGAAAACAGGATTTGTTTCCCAAATGTCCTTTTTGCCTTGTGTGCTTTTACTATGATTGGTGATAACGGGTTTTTAAGCAGATGGAAAAGCTCGTGTGGTGTTAGTACTACAACCATTCCCCAGATTTTAGCACAGCTCAAGTGTCCTAGTACCCTGACTCATGTGAAATGAGCCATGAAATGCATAAAAAGATATTCCGGCAGTCAGGTTGTTGTAGAGCACAGTGGGCACATAGTATTCAAAGAAAAATCATATTAAAGAAAAGCATGTCATAAATTAAGTAAAGTGAAGAAATAACTCTTCCCTAGGGCTACTAGAAACCTTTGATAATTTCAGAAATATGTGTATTCAGAGGGAATATATTATTTTTTCCAAGATACAAAAATAAACTTTGGCATTTTGGCAGAATGGTCCTTTTAGTTCTTTTTGATTGATGAGGCCTTAGTTATTAGCTTTAATTGCTAATACCTGTGCTGATGTTAAACTGTTGTCAGTGGACTGCAACTAGTTCAGTCACTGTGATTGCCTTCATTCAGTAATTTACCAACATGGCCAGTGATACATGCTGTATTACAATTGTAGGTGCTACAAAATGATGTTTTAGCTCATCAGTCTACCGTGGAAGCTGTTAAAAAAGCAGGAAATGACCTGATTGAGTCGAGTGCTGTTGAAGAAGCAAGTAATTTACGGAGCAAGTTGGAACTCCTGAATCAGCGCTGGCAAAACTTGTTGGAAAAAACAGAACAAAGGAAACAGCAGCTGGACAGTGCCTTGATCCAGGTGAACAGGAAATGATCAAATATAGAAATAACTCAGAAAAAGTGTCTTTTTACATGAAATACATAGGTACACGTATTAGAAGTTTGCCTAAATCAAAACCATAATGCAGACACCCCTGAATTTGGAGAAAGTTTGAATCCAGCTGTATCTTCTGCAGCTAGCCTCTGTCTCTTTTATTGCTGAAACAAGACTTCAGCTTTTGGTCTACATGTTTTTAAAGGGTGAAATTTCTGTATTGGTATATTATTCAGGGAAAACATTGGTCTCACAGTAGGTCATTTAGCTTGCTTTCAAGATTTCCATGTTTTTTGGTTTTATCCTTCAGATTGAATCGAGCTAGTTTATATTTTGGTCTGCTTTTTTCTTTTTTTTTTCTTCCCCTTTTGTTTCATTTGATCATTACAAATATCTGAATAAATCTGTTGCCAGTCTACTTATGCACCTAAGCTGGTATTAGAATGGAGAACATTTTAAGTAAGGTCTAAAATGATATGGTGTAATTTAGGCACAAGGTTTCCATGGGGAAGTTGAAGATCTGCAGCAATGGCTGACAGATACTGAACGTCAGCTGTTGGCATCAAAACCTGTTGGAGGCTTACCAGAAACAGCAAGAGAGCAGCTTAATGCACATATGGTAAGTATCAGTATTAGAATGCTTTGCAATTTGTATTTCAGAACTAACCATCTTTCAGGAGTGTTTTTGGTACATATGGAGCACGTTCTATATATCACCATGTCTGTACAGTATCTTATAAAAATTTAATAACCTTCAAAACAGCACTTATTTCCGGTGTAGTTTAGTAGTCTATTGGGACATATGCCCAAAGCTGAACCATTAATCGTGTTGAGACAAGTAAAATAGCTTTTGCATCCTTATTCTTGGAAAGAAAAACAGAAGGTGTTTGCAGATTTTTCGGGGATTTCTTTTCTTTTCTCTTCTGGCCCCATAAGTAAATTAATGCTTTTTCTAAGATTTGAAGATGAACCTAAAAGTGGCCCACATTTATTGGACCTTGACTTAAGAGTCTTGATCCTTTATTCCTTACCTAATCAAAGCTGACATCATTAGCATAGAAGTAAGGAGGACTACTGGCTCATAGAGCCTGTGCTTTAACTGGAAATGTCAAACTGACCAGGATACCTGAATTATTCCCTTTCTTTCTCTTTAAGAAACATTCTATGGATTTCTCTGCTCCCATAGAACCATAGAGCTTAAAAAAAGACACTTAAACTTGATCTCTTAACTCAAAGGAAGGTGGTTCATAGTGCTCCATTTATGTAAAATCATGCTATGCCATTAGGCCAGGATATAAACTTCTGGTGATCTAAACTTCTGAACTCCTGGCTCAGATGTAACAGTGGTATTTACTGAACTGTCCTTGAACTCGAATATGCCTGACACAGTTTCCATTAGAATGCTACATTGTCAAAGCATTAAAAATAAGATTTTATTTTGAAATTATGCTAAAGGTCATTGCTCACCAACATGGGGCACATTTTTTTTCCTTCCTCTTTTTCTGCCAAAATTTGCCAGTAACTATAATTGAGAAAGAAACTTAATTTACAGTTTTAAAATCAGTTATAACAGGAAGCTAGATCAAAACACAGAAATAATCCTGTGGTTTTGAACCCCCCTGATCCTTCTCTTTTTGTCTTAAAGGAAAAAAAAAAAGAAGAAAAGAGCTTTTTTTTTTTATCCCCTGTGAGGGTGGGATATAATTACAATTCCCTGAAAGTCAGCGGAGCTCTTTGCTTTTTTCATCCTGGACTTAAACAGATCAGGACCCAAAATGTTTCCATTGAAAGCTTCAGGATTTTCTTTACTATATTCTTTTGCTATGCAAATGTTCTATACCTACAATGCTTACAGACTGATTAGTTAAAGGACCTTTAAACTGAATGTAGTATTATATTTGGACCAAGTCTGGCTGTTCCCAGTAATATGTATTTTAGATGTACAATCATTCCCTAACTGTACATGAACACTTTAACAGATTGTTACTATACTGGTGGCCGTCGTATAACTTCAGGCACTGGCTGTTACCAACCTTTAAAATAAAGAACTTGATTTTCCTTTAGTTAAACTTATGGACATATATGTGTTAGTTCTCTCTCCCTCTTTTATTTTTTTCTGGCTGAAATGTTGAGGCCAGTGTCATGTTGACTACTGGTCATCATAAGTTCCAAATTCAAACTTGGTCCTAAGTGATACAAACCATTTCTGGCATGAAACTGAAGGAGGAAGTTTTGCACTATGTTTTGAATTGTTTCTCTTTGGAAATAAACTTATGAACTATCTTTTTGTGTATAAGACCTGTTTCTACGGATATGAATAAAAGATCCCTCAACCATAATTAGCTCACAAATGGAGCTGAGATTGGGCTGCATTTCCAGCTAAGGCAACTCCAGGAAAACAAACGATATGAAGAGATGTTACAGGGCACCAGTAGGAAAGGGGCTTAAAAAGAAGCCTTTTTATCTGTCCCAGTGCTGCTCAGAACATCCCTCTCCTTTTCTTAAAACAATCAGTGTTCTCAGTTTCTTCCTGAAAATAACTTTAATTGCTTCTGCCCTTTGGAGAGTGTGACTGTGCTGCAAAATTAGCCACTGTAATGGGCCGTTGTGTCAGGCTGAGCCCAGCCCCTGTGTTTGGAACCACGCCTGCCTTGCCTTGTCTCACCTGTGCTGTGCTTTTTGTGTTTACTTCTGAGGGGTTCTTGTGCTGCAGGACAGTAAGATGTTCTGGGGAGTTATGGAAACCAGAAATATTCTAGGGAGGTTGGGAGTGTAGGAGGAAGCAGACTAGGCGACACCACTTTTCACAGTCCTCAGAAAGAAAGCAAAGAAGCTTTCTGTCCTGTCAAAATCTTAAGCTCATGATTAAACAAACCTGCTTCCTGCTTTGCCCTCCTATTTGATCAGGTACGAGCCCTGTGTACCTTATCTCTTAACCCAAAGAAAGTGTTTGGTTTGGGCTTTTCTCCTGGGAATCAGAGGAAAAAGTAATTTTCCTCTTATTTGCAAGCCGTTTATTCCTCATCTCCTGGAAGACATTTGTCATTTGGGCGTCTGTAGCAACTTTGTGCATTTTGGTTTGTCTGTTGGAAATATTGGATGTGCCCATTTGAGTGAGAGCGAGGCATGAGAGGTCCCAGACTCTTGCCAGCTTACTTTTAAAATGGTTAAAAATGCATCATTAGTAAAATAGTGAATAGGTAAAACATATGTTACCGTTATTATTCCAGCTTGTTTTCTATGTCTGAAATGTCTTCAGTGCTCATGCCTAACAAGGGAAGGAAGATACAGCCAAAACAGACAATGTACAATAGAACAGCCCTCCCAAGTTGTCCCACCCACTTTTGAAGGTGTATGTTGGAGGTCTGGGATTTCAGCACACTGTGTAATGCTGACACTTCTTGTGTTTTGGCTACAGATGGACTTTAAAACCAACCAAGCTGTAGCAAGTCTTGTGTAATAAGTGCATAGTACTTTCTTTGCTAAGCTTTGGATCTCAGAGAAGACATTGACAGACAATACAAGTTCTCATTTCCTAAGAGAGCAAAGGGCCCTTTCTTTGCTCATTTGGAGGTTTTATGAATTACATATGTTTCCTTTATTAGTCTTAATCATACCTACTAAATGTTGGGGGAGGAATAAATGGTATACTGGCATTTAGAAAGAGTACTGAATTTCTACCTTACTTGGTTTTTTGTGCTTTCTTTATTCAGGAACTTTGTGCTGCCTTTGAAGCCAAAGAGGAGACATATAAGTGTCTAATGCAGAAAGGCCAGCAAATGCTTGCAAGATGCCCAGAGACTGCTGAAACAAACGTTGAGCAGGACATAAATAACTTAAAAGAAAAATGGGAATCTGTGCAAACAAAGCTCAATGAAAGAAAAGTATGTGTTTTTACATAAAAATGGAGATGTAAATCATGTGTTTAAGGGTGTTAATGATCGGTGCTTTTATGCTTGCATACTTGCTTGATCTTTTATATTTTAAACCAATTGTAGAGACAGACAGAATGTTTAGAAACTACTGAGAAAAATGAGTTTCAAAAGTTAATTACCCATACTTGGAAGGGGGAGGATGGGTGGGAATGGCTCAAATCTGTTCTATACAAATACATTAACTGATACTGTTAATGCTCATGTAGTAGGACTAGGGCTTTTCCGGTTTTTATTGCAATAATCGTAGACAGGAGAGAGGCTCAATCATCGTTCAAGTTTATCTCCTTCTCGGTACAGAATTTCTGCATTATTTTTTCTAGTTTTTATCCATTTATTCTTAAAATTCCCAAACTCTTGGCCTTTTGCCACTTACTTCAAGTGACTACCTTCTGTTCTAACAGAACAATAACATGATTTCACTGATATGCAACACACATATGACAACACCAAAATGTCAATTGAGCTTTAATAAAAAGAAGTGGTCTAGGAAAACTTATTCTTTGTTTAGTGCAAGTTTCATGACCTCCTTGAGGTGTTGTTACTCTTCTATTCATCTCCTTGAATCTGCTCAAATGTAGGCTGTTATTTAAAACTCAGAAGCTTTAAGTTGGAAAAGTGTTTTAAAATGCTCAACTAAAATGGTTTACTGCAAAGTGCTGAACTAAAATGGCTTCCTTGGCCGAGGCCCCTGCACAGTATCAACTGCTATTAAAGTATGACCTATCTTTACAGACCAAACTGGAAGAAGCCCTCAGTTTAGCAACAGAGTTCCACAACTCGCTTCAAGATTTCATCAACTGGCTTACTCAGGCTGAGCAAACTCTAACTGCAGCTTCTCGGCCAAGTCTTATCTTGGACACTGTCTTATTTCAAATTGATGAACACAAGGTATGTAAAGAAACAGATGTGTAATGTTTTTCTCCCACTCTGTGGAGATACTGCAACAATGTCCAAATGAACCCTATAATGCTGGCACTCGGAGAAACATTTAATTTGTTTTAAAATTACATTTTATAGTCTTTTTCACTATATCATTTTTTATCAGACTGAGTTTTTTCAGTGTTTACCCAGCAACACAGTATTGAGTAATTTTCTCCCTTTTTTCCCAAGGTTTTTGCCACAGAAGTGAACTCTCATCGAGATCAAATCATAGAACTGGACAAAACTGGAACGCATTTGAAATATTTCAGCCAGAAACAGGACGTTGTCCTTATTAAGAATCTGCTTATTAGTGTACAGAGCCGATGGGAAAAAGTAGTTCAACGCTTAGTTGAAAGGGGAAGAGCTTTGGATGATGCAAGGAAAAGAGCCAAACAGGTAATGGGACAACAGCTGTTTTACAACTCTTTGAACTTAGCTGTAATTGCGTCCAGATTCTTGACAAATATGGTGCTTTAAAGGACTTACAAAGCAAGCCTGGGTTTAGTGTAACAGACAGTGTTGAGTTAGTGGAGCAATTTCTGTGATTCAATCATAGAGCACTTCATTTGGGAGGTGAAAGCGTCATTTTCAACCCGAGCAGTGACTTCTGTCTGCAGTACAGGACAGTCTGAAAGAAGAAAGTAACAGCATGGATTCCAGATGTGTATTAGTGCCATCTGTCCTCAGAAAGAAGTTTCACAATCAACCCCATATATTTTAAAGAATGTGATGACCCCTTTTCACTAATCTGTGGGAATATTCCTTAGTATTTTCTTCTTGGATCTATGTTGTGCCCTGATTATTAGTCATCACTTATCACTCAATCTCTTATGTTAGTTACTGGACCAATACCTTCTGTGTAATAATATATCTCCATTTATTTCCTTATGAACCTGAAAAGGTGGTGTTGGCTTGTTTGGGTTTTTTTTCATAATTTTCTTCACTGGGAAGCATTCATGTTTTTTTCCTTAGATACATGTTTCCCTCACCGAGAAAGATAAATGAGAAGATGCAAAATGTGTGAGAGAAATGTAATCTGTTTAAATGGCAATAGGAAATTCTAGCTTCTTTTTATTCAACTGAACACGATCATTCAAGATTTGGTGATGTTCACAGCCAAACCATGTTCCCATGTTCACCACTACCACCACTCAGCTCATAGAGCAAGAAGTTCTCTGAGCAATAAATTATCCCATAAGCCAATCACGTTACTTATTTTCCAGCCATTTCTCTTGTGCATTCCCACACCCAGCAGTTCTGCAATGAGATGGATTTCATCTCAATATCCATTTACAAAGCTGAATACAGTGTTATTAAGATGACAACTTTCTATGTAGAATGTTGAAGGAGTACTGAAGGCTACCAGTGTCAAGGCCTAATCAACAGCCCTGAACAACAGGGTCCGGGAGCCTTGAGAAGTTTCTGAACTAGTTTCTTGTGCTTTCATGTGTAGGCAGCCCAAGCAAGAAGAATTTTCAAAAGAGAGAGAAACAACCGGCTTAGAAAAATGAAAACCCAAAGGGATGTCACTTTGTGAAAGCTCGTTGAATCTTTAGTTTTTCCCTGCTTCCTTCCCCAAAGTGCTCTTTTCGTCAAAACAGGAAGGAAGATCAAAAATCTGTTCCTTGCCCATCAAGATAGCATTTGATTTAATGAGAGCACTCAGGGGTGTTACAGGGAAAATCTTGGGCAGTCATCCAGACAGAAGTTTTCCCCAGTGATTTACTGCTATCATCCTATATAAGCAATAGCTAATCCCCATTCTTTCTGTATTTACTATCCATTACTAAAAATGTAGAAATCTAAATGGCCAACACATCAACAGATGTTACCAATATGTCTCTGACAGATGCACACTATGTGTGCACATCCTGTACATTAAAGGTTGCTAATTCACTTAAGGGAAGTGAAGCTGAATACAGTGGGCCCGTGGTTTAACTGGTTCTGTTTAAGAGACCAGGGAGAAAAAACACATCAAATCTTGTCAAAGTCTGCCAATCTTGGTTGGAGTTTAATGTTATTGAACTGTTTTATGAACCAGTGAATTTTAAAATCCATGCAAATCTCACTTTTCTTTAGTTCCATGAAGCCTGGCACAAACTTATGGAATGGCTGGAAGAGTCAGAGAAATCTCTGGACTCAGATCTTGAAATTGCAAATGACCCTGATAAAATAAAAATGCAGCTCGCACAGCATAAGGTGAGTCATGAAATGCAAAGTGCCAAGTGAAATGTAGGTAAGTCTATCAGCCTTGTGCTGATCAGTCAGCAAAGTAAGTAGATTTGTGGCCTTGCTGCAATGGAGTGTTTATTCACATCAAATTAAATGGTGTTTTAAGAGGGGCCGAGTGAAAAAAAAAAACAAACACTTTTCACGGTACCTGATATGTTGGGGAATGGTTAACAGTGAAGAGGAAAGACAATAATACAGGATCATGGAAACTCTGAAAAGCGAATTTATACCATTTCAGAATAGGAATCTCTGAAGGGGCTTTCTTTCAGTATTTGTACCAAAAATTTACCATCCACTTATTTGAGTTGAGATTTTCCTTTTAATACTGCAGGATGAATTCAAAACTGAAAAATAATCTTGTATTTCGATTGGCAGTTGCTTTTTATGTCAAGTGGAAATGATAATGAAATCGTCTAGAAAGTACAGTAACAGTATTAATAACACAGGTGGTTTCTCTTCATGAGATTCCAAATTCTGAAACCAGCTTTTCACAAACCCAGCTGTTGTAGGTGAAAATGTAAAAATCTCCCTCATTCACCTAACTTTTCAGACATGTAATGATAATGTAAAAGCTTGATAATTTTAGCAGACACAGAGCAAAAGGGAAGGCTAAAGTAGTCTTTACTTAATTTTTACTTCTCTAAAATGTCTGGCATAATATATTATTGAGAACCAAGTGAGTGAGTGATAGAATCCTCAGAGATATGATTGTGTCTTAAGATTTCTCATGGAGCAGTTTCATCAGAGTATTGAAAGACTGTTCATTTTTCTACATTTTGGCACATATTTACCTTTCATGTCAGTTTTACGGTTCTCTATTTACTCCTATGTTTTCATTCTGCACAATATTCCCAAAAGTTTACATATCTAACTTTTTATTTTTGCTGTAGCTTCTGGTGATTGCTCTTACCTCCAACAAGTTTTGCCATCTATATTAATGATTTGTTACTGCATCAGTCTGTGATAAAACTGACTGTTGGTCAAGCAAAAGTAGTTTACCTGTGTTTGCTGTTAAAACTTTTAGATAAAAGCTACATTGACATTCTGTTATGCTGACTCTGCAATTTCAGTTTGTTTTGGGATTGCTGCTGTTGCCAGAATTTGAAGTTGGTGATGGGAACTGGCAAGGGGGAATCTTGCTGTTAGGACAGTCTTTCTTGTCTCCTCTGACTCTTAATCTTCTAATCCTTTCACTGCTCTTTTTCATTATATATTCATATATATATATATTTACCTAACGAGTATGGTCAACACTTTGTGACTTTGCTTTGAGGTCCTTTCAGGTCTTTATCCTACCTGTATTCTTCTCCCCTCTTCAGAAATGTTAAACTTGATAAACTTGATATTTACCTTATACCTACAGGTTTTATGAACCTAAGCTTCCCCACGTGGATTGGCAGACTCATCCTTTCTGTCACTGATATAGCTTCTTTCATATAAAATGCCTGCAGAGCATTTCTGCTTGAGTTGCTTGAATCTCGTTAAGGAATGGGATGAAATATGCTACAGGGACATAAGGATTGAAACTGGTGATCTGGAGGAAAAAAGATGAATGTGTGTGACAGAGGGAGTTCTGTGAACTTTGTGACTTCAAACTTCAAACACCACCCCCTCAAGAAATCAACTCAATTGTTTTTTAATGAGTTGTCAAACCTCCCAGCACTGCAATGTCCTTCCTTGTATTTTGAGTCTTTTCCTTCCACTCCCACATATACCCCGTGTCTGTCTTTGTCTTTTCTGTCCAGCCTTGAAGGTTTCCTTGCTCTATTTAGTTAAGGATTTTGCTATCCGAATTGAATGCGTGCTGTAAGCAATAATTTGGACTCGCTTTTTGCCAGCTGTTGCTGCCAAAAAAAAAGTCCCTGAAAAAGAAAAGCCAAGATAATATGTTTTCTCTCTCACTCATATCTAGTGTGTTGCCAGGGACTTTTGGGGGTTACTCATGGTCTGTTTATCAGAATTTTTTTTTCATTTTTAGGAGTCAGGAATGGAAAAAGCAATATTAGGTCACTCAATCTATTCCTGTGCTAATGCTGAGTGTTCCTTACAATAAATTTATATGAACCTGGCTAATTTTATCTGTATGTGCCCATCTTCCTTAGAAGGAAGGTAGCTAGATGAGTGTAATCTCAGTAATTAACTTACTTGTCTGCTCCTGGCAACTTAAACTAAAATCTACTTTCAGTTACACATCTGTGAAATCGAATGAAAGTAGGTATGATGTAGTCTCTCAAGGCATGAACTGCATGACTGCAACCCTTTGCTCACCTTTAAATCTGTTTTTCCTGTATGATCCTTCTCTGGCAACAATTTAATTGTATTTCCTGGTGCAAATCTAGTAACACTGTGCATGTAGTGTTAAGTAGTTAACAAACCCCATCAAATAAAAGAAGCATAGATGTACTGTTTATATTGAAGGAACTTTTATAAAAAGCTGGTTATTTTGAATATTTTATTTATTTTTACTCTAGTACTAACTTGACAATTATATTCTTTCCTGAAGTTTGTTTCCTTGTTTTATGAGGAAAACAAAAGGACAGTGAGGAAAAACTAAATTACAAAGCAGATGTTGCTTTTTTTTTGTAACAGAAAAAAAGGGGAGAAAAAAAAGAATACTTGATTCTATATATGAGTTTCCTTAAAGCACACTTGCGATTTATTGATTTTTTAAACTGATTTCCTGCTAGTGGTTCATGAAGATGTGAACTAAAATATTTCAAGCATTTCTGCCATTTCAAAGCTGCTGTGTTGAGCTGGTGTTGTCTTTTGGAAGTGTTCCTTTATTTAATTATTTACTCTGTCAGTTGGTTAATTCCTCTGTGGTATCAGATGAACTGTGTTTCTATGTGCTCCACTGTGCCTGTGGAAAGCTTCCAGAGAGTCTGTGCAGAAGGACCTGTCAGAGCTGGCAGGCAGATGCAACTGCTGTGTCACTGTCATTTTTCAAAGTCCCTGGGCACAGAAACTTGCTGGTGATCTTGATTTCTAGCACAAACTGAGTTATGGGGCTGTCACCTGACTTCTTGTGCCTGGATCTACACTTGTGGCATACAGTTGTTCCCAATTATAGTATGTTTCAATCTTAAGAGAGTTAAAGGCTTGTGGTTGAAAGTTTCCCAGCTTGCCCATGTTGAGCTAAACCAGAAAAACCTCTGTAGCTCTTGGAGAGCTCTACAAGTGGCTTAAAATCCTAGTTTGTAAGAATGTAGTGTGAAGAATGCTCAGTTAATGGCTCCCAAAGTTAGCAGTTCTTTCACTACCAGGCACTCCTTGTTGAAATTTGGGAATATTATGGTAGGACAGGAATCATTGCCCTCACCGAAGGAGAGGTTTTGTGGAAGTTATTCCAGTAGGCATAGAGCTACATTCCCAGAGAAGGACAAAAAGCAGGGGTCTGCCAGTGTCAAGCCGCACGTAATTTCAGGTGCACTGTGGCACTAGCGTAGAAATTTTGCAGTAAGTTTAAAATATTCTTGCAGCAACATTTACAATTAACATTGCAAATAGTATGTCAAAAAATTAATTAACAATGGCCTGTAAGCAGTTAATGATATATGGGTTTTTTCCTTTTCTTCCATATGTGTAGGAATTCCAGAAATCTCTTGGTGCCAAACATTCTGTATATGATACCACAAATAGAACTGGACGTTCCTTGAAAGAGAAAACCACCTTGGCTGATGACAATTTGAAACTTGACGATATGCTGAGTGAACTAAGGGATAAGTGGGATACAATTTGTGGAAAGTCAGTGGAAAGGTAAATGAAAACTCTGTAATTATTAATCAAATAAGAGAAATGCTTAGGAAAATTCTTTTGGCTTCTGTTTTGGGTTTTCTTGTGTAAAAGTAAAACCAGAGTGGCTAGCTTGTTTGATAATTAGGAGTGTCAAAGCAGTAAAATACTGTAAATGCATGCTTTCCTTTTGGTGTGGAAGAAGGGTAGGGGGAGGGAGGGGAAGGAAGAGTCCTTTAAAAAGGGAAACTGATTGAAGTTCTCTGGAGGTATTGGTTGACAGAACGTTAGCCTGCAGCATATTCATATGGCCCAACAGGCCAGTGGCATCCTGGCTTGTATCTGCAATAGTGTGGCAAGCAGAACCAGGGCAGTGATCGTTGTCCTGTACTCGAGTTGCAGCCTGCCTCAGAAGGGGAGGGTAACCCAGGTTCTTGTTAATAAATCCCTTGGGGTGGATTAGAGCGAAATGACACTGAATAATCTGTGTTTGTAAACATACATATGTAGGGTTTATTTTAGAACAATTTTGTTTCAAAGGTAAACAGGTATGTTGCTGTTTTGGGTGTTATCATCTACAGCAATATAGCAACATTAAAGTGTAGCAGTATAGCACTATTAAAGCACAGCAATGTTAAAGCACCTATAGCAATAAAGCATAGCAATATAGCGCTATTAAAGCATAACAATGTTAAAGCATAAAGATAACACTTAAGGAAATACATAAAGGAGAGAAAGGGAAAGAAAGGATAAGGATGGAAAGACATATATATAGTCACCACCCACAGGATCCAGCGATGAAACCTGATAGTTGCAGCTTCCATGTCTATTGGTGGTGGTCTTGATCCGTTGGGGCTGGGGGAAGCCCCCCCGCCAAAACTCAAAGATGTTATGAGTTATTATACACTTTTAGCTCAAGTGAGAATGCCTTGTACCTCCCTGGGGCGGGGAGTTTTACAATAGATAGTGTTATGGGACATGTCACTGATTTTCTGGCATCTTGTAAGAGAGCTGCAGCTGCCTATTGTGTCAGCATCATTCAGGATCCATCATGGTCCGATATCTGACGTGCATAGCCGAGGTTAGATGTGCAGAATTATGTAAAGGGAAGACATTGGTATGATAAGAGGGATTCTCCCACTTTGCAGGATTTGTCTCTTCTTAGCCTCTTCCATTATCTGGAGATCCAGTTTGTAGCTTCATGTATTCATCTGCACCTAGGACGGCTGGACAATGGCACCCCCTTACCTGATTTGAAGGCCCTTTGGCAGTATTCAGGGAGGGGTGGGCTTTGCTGGGTGAGCAGCTGTTTCTTTCCAGTTTGCAAAAGTCTTTTGGTGATCTTAGAATGTGTAAGTCATTAAATGTTTCAGTCTCTGACAACTCGGCACTGGTGAGGCCACACCTTGAGTGCTGTGTCCAGTTCTGAACCCCTCACAACAAAGAATTTGAGATGCTGGAGTGTGTCCAGAGAAGAGCAATGGAGCTGGTGAAGGGTCTGGAGCACAAGTCTGATGAGGAGTGGCTGAGGGAGCTGGTGGTGTTTAGCCTGGAAAAAAGAGGCTCAGGAGGGACCTTATTGCTTTCTAGATGAAAGGAGTTTGTAGTCAGATGGGGATCAGTCTCTTCCCAGGTAACAAATGACAGGATGAGAGGAAACTGTCTCAAATTGTACCAAGTGAGGTTTAGATTAAATATTAGGAAAAATTTCTTCACTGAAAGGGTTGTAAAGCATTGAAGCAGTCTGCCCAGGGAAGTGGCTTAGTCACCATCCTCGGAAGTGTTCAAAAGATGTGTGGATGTGGCACTTTGGGGTCATGGTTTATGGTGAATGTAGTGGTGCTGGGTTAACAGTTTGACTTAATGACCTTGCTGATCTTTTCTAATTGTCAGGATTCTATGATTCTGTTATTTTATGCTGAAAGTGTGTTCTTAAAGTGTATAAATTATTATTTTGTGTGTGTGTTCTGGGGTTTTTTTCCCCTCCCAGACAAAATAAACTGGAGGAAGCCCTGTTATTTTCGGGACAGTTTACCGATGCTCTGCAAGCTCTCATTGACTGGTTATACAAAATTGAACCTCAACTAGCAGAAGATCAGCCAGTACATGGAGACATTGATTTAGTGATGAACCTGATTGACAATCACAAGGTAATTCCAAAAATACTTTTTTAATTACTGTACTGCTCATAATTGTAACATTTTAATGCTGTCTTTATCTCTGACTATTCTGTAATTTTTAGAAATACGGAATAGTTTTGTAACACAAATGTAATCAACAATACATTTGTAACACAAACGTAATCAACTCAGTTAGCATTGAGATAGTCCATTTAATGGTGCTGTCCTGTGTATTTATGAATATCATGTCATATCACAAGTATGCATTTATAAATGTGTGCCTATGAGCAAGAGATGGCAAAAATTGTTTTACCGGAAAACTCTGGGGCAGACAGCTCTTTTTTTAGTCCATCTGTTAACCAAATGTCCAGTGCACTTGTCATGACTGCAGCAGCCTTTCAGACCTGTGGGGCTGCTGTATATTTATCAAGCAAAGTAGTTGCAATGCTTAAGTTATGCACAGATTTCAACTAGACCGTGAGCCAGGAAGCTTGCATCGGAAAGCTGCAGTATTTTGTTACTGAAATGGTTTAGGAGATGAGAGCAAGTAGGAGATGTTGGACTTTACCTTTGAATCCCAGTTTTGCAGTTCAGTATGTCAGAAGAAATGACTGTTGAAGTTACTTGTATTGCAAAGGCAACACATAGGCAGAACTCTGGAGCCTGGGAAGATCATGAGGTAAAGGTCCTTCTGTTCATCCACCACTGATTTTCAGTATCTCCTCCCCGCTGAGATTTCGTCCCTCATGAAAAAAGTGTTTGGAAACATGGGTTGTCTATAAAAATTAGGCTGCAATATGCTGCAATTGCTTCTGAAATCCCATTGTGTATCACAAGTAAGTTGTAGTCAGTGTCATGGTATACTATAATTGCCGTATCTTCTTTTAAGAGTTTCCTTTAGTAACTGGAGCTTGTTCCATCTACTAATGTGAACATTTCTTCTCATTTGATTTCTTCTCATAACCAGTAGTTTTTTGTTATTTTTTGCATAAGTATGCCTCAATGAGTTAAACATTTCAAATATATTTGATGGTGCCTAGGTTTTCCAGAAGGAGTTGGGAAAAAGAACAAGTAGTGTCCAGGCTCTGAAGCGCTCTGCAAGGGAGCTAATAGAAGGCAGTCGTGATGACTCTTCCTGGGTCAAAGTCCAAATGCAGGAGCTGAGCACTCGCTGGGAGACAGTTTGTGCCCTGTCAGTATCCAAGCAAACACGACTGGAACAGGCTCTTCGGCAGGTAAGGAATAGTCAGTACGTGTACTCTGTGAAAACTAGTGAAAATATCTTGCAGTATAGTTACCAAAAATGTAATTTCATTTTCACTTAATGTCATTCACTTCCATTTCATTTGAAAATACTAATTTCTTGCTCATGCATTGCTTACCTTGTCTCCATCCCTTTACCGTGGCACATAAATAGTGCCTCTTAGTATTTATTATTGAAGTTATTATTAGTCTCTAGCACAAATGCAATACAAATGTTTCAAAGACCTTACCATCTAAGGAAATCACTGAAGTTGCAGTCAAGCATGAAGGATGATTAAGAACTATGCCCCATTCACAAGAAGCTGGAGATTGCAATCGTATTTTTGCTTTTTGTGCCTTATTGGAAAGAAATAAATTTCTGTATTGAAAACTTGTTTACATTGGCACAATTACAATGCACGGTGAATTACATTGCAGAAAAGATAGTTGTGCTGAGTGCACTCAGGAGTTAGAACAGTCTATGTATGTCAATACTGTCTGGTACCAATCCCAAACAAATAGATCTATCTGTATTGTTTCCAAACCTGAGATAATATGGATGTACAGCTCTCTGAAGATATACTAGCTTGGACTGATGCTAGGATGGGGCTCCTCCGATAGCAGTGTATCCACTGTGTACAAAATTCCTGCTCTACTTTTCCCAGGGTTTGTCCAGCTCTCCAGTCTCTCAGCAGACACAATCCAAAGCTACCTCAAACTCTAATCGTGTCTGAATATGGCTGTGCCCAAAGGTGAATCTTTCTTGTTTCTCCAGACATAAAAGGGTCACTCTCTCACAGGCTGTCAATTCATTTTGCTTAACTGGTGATTTAGGCTGTGCAGAAAATACAGTTCTCATCTTTCCAGCTGGTCCCTGAAAGCAAAGCACCTCCCTTGTAATTTGTCAGTGTAAAGGCATGACATTCACAACTGAGCTGCAAATACACTATAAATCAGATGGCTAAAAGCATGAACAGGCTTTTAGGCTTCCTATAATTTTTTGAGAAGCATGAGCTATTTTTACAGTTATGAAAATGTAGTACTGTATATCATTGACTTTTTAATGGAAAGATAATGTGCCAGTACTGCTGTGTGATTAATGATTCTAAATGTGGGCTCAGTCTCCTTGTGTAAGCTGCAGCGTGTCTGTCAGATCCCCTCATGAGTGACCATGACTTTTTGTATTTTAACAGGCAGAAGAATTCCACTCTGTTGTTCATGTCCTTTTGGAGTGGCTGGCAGAGGCAGAGCAGGCTCTTCGTTTCCATGGCATCCTTCCAGATGATGAAGAGGCCTTGCGTACACTGATAGAGCAGCACAGGGTAAGCAAGAAAATGAAGAGGATCCTCTTCATTCTAATTGGTCTGATAGAGGGTAAAATAGAAGAAAGGAGGCAGTCTGTCCCATGTAGTTATATCCAGCATCCAGTGTTGGTTTTTGAAACTCTTTCTATAAAAGAGAATCTAGAAATTTCATGTAGTTGATAGTTTAATGTCCATGCTGGTTTTGGGCCCTTGTTTGAGTCATCTTGGCTTACTGAGGAAATAATGGGCCTTTAGAAAGTTACTGTAAACATTTAGAGACAGATTCAAACCCCTCTGTGCAGTATATGGTGCCTGCAATTACAACATAGATGGCTACAGTAGCAAAAGTATATCTATCGTCTTAGCACCATTGATCAAAACAGCGTATACTTTTCTTTCGAGGTCGTTTGTAAATGTCACCGGAATGATATCATCCATTAACCTTTTGTCATGGTGAAAGAGTGTGCTGTCATACTTCATAAGCATTAGGTACTGAAATACTGCAGTGGCATAAGTACTGAAGAAAGTAGATTGTGGACCATCAAACTAACTTTGCAGTAATGAAATGGGAAAATGCCTAACTAAAGAGAGGAGAGGTCATATTTTCACTCTCCAAACAAGAGGCTACAAACATCCACATTTAAACCCATGCAAAACTTGTTGTAAATGCAGTAGTAACAGTTCCAAGAGTGTAGTGTGCACAGTGTTACAGAACAAATTATAAGGCATGGATTTGTTCATCATTGCTCTGAAGAAAGTTAGAGCAAAACTTACAAAATGGAGAGTGGAAAAGCATCCTGTTTAAATTGAGTTTGGTAATGCTATTATGCAGAGGAGTGCATGCAAGATACAACTATTTAACAGTTCCTAACTAAGGAGTTTTCAATGTACTTAGTATGCAATATTTTGAAAAAGTTGTCAGTTTTAATTTAGGGCCCTGGAAACTGGGTACTATTCATTAGCTGGGGAGTATATGTATGTATGCATCAAATGTATGACTAATGTTCGCAGTAGCAACCTAATCTCTCTGATGCACTGAAATTTGTCTTTAGCTGCCTGTCCTCCACATGTGGTTCACCAGTTCTGTTTTAATTGATTTTTTGATCTCCTAAATACAGAGAAAAGAATGGAGTGAAATCTTAGGTCCACTGAAATAATTAGAAAAAAAAAATCTTAAATTTCTTCTTCTGCACTGTAGATGGATTAACAAAACAGTTCTGTACTAAAGTTCCAAATTGTGCTGCCAAAGCTGAAGCATAACTTCGAACCTCAAAGCAAAGCAAAGTTTGTCTCTGAGAAACCCTGTCCAGCTGGGAAGGATGATTGCTAGCACAACACAACCAGCCTCAGTGTTAGATGTGGCAATACTGTACTTAAATTTTTTTAGTAGGCTTTGTAAGAGGTTCTCCCAAACACATTTTCTTCTTAAAGGCTAAAGAATAGAAATAGAGAAATTGTTAAGCTAAGAAAGATTATGGCACTACTGCTTTACCACTCACTCAGTTTTCCTTGAATAAGTGATCTCTCTTTTTAAGCTTATAACATTAGCTTTCAAGAAGAAAAAACAGAAAATCAGGGAAGAAGGAATATGTATTCCTTTTACACCATATACCATTATGTATTACAATGCTGCAATATTAATATAAAAATACATTATTGAAATTATTTACATAAATATGAAATATATATTCCTTTTGTCACTGTGGTTCTTGTAAAATAGTTTTGCTGCATTTGTGTTCAGTTGTGTGTTGAAAGGTTTCTTCTCAACAATATTTTATCCAAATGGTCCATCTTTGCCTATTTCTGATTTTATTTTCTTGAGTAATGCACATGATTTAGTGAATTCTACTACCTCAGCCAGAGATTTCTGTCACCTGTCCTCCTCTCTGGGGACTGAGATCTATAGTGGATTAATACACTGCACTGCTGAATGAGAAGCATCCCTTCTCCTCTCTTGTTAATGTGTCTGTATCACTGGATTGCCACAGAGCTCAACACAATTGAGTTCATCCCTTACTGAGTTCATCCCTTACTGAGGGAAAGCTTAATACGCTGTATGTAATGCATCATAGATTTAATTTTTGAGATATTCTAGTATAGCTGGGCAGGGGAAACAATGTAGTTGCTCATTCTCCTCCTGGCCTCGGCTTATTTTGGTAATCCCATTAAAACCCACTTCAACTTTTCCAAAACTATGTTGAACTGAAATATTCTAAGGACTCACATTTTTATGAGAGGAGGTTTGCTGTTACGACTGGGTCTTTAACTCTGACAATAATTTAAGCTTAAATCAAAATCAGTTAACAACAAATCTTTTTAAGTATGGAGCCTACATATTCCAGCCCTCTAGAACAAAGTTGAAGAGACGTCTTTTACACTTTTATTTCATAATAATTTCGTACTTTGTTAAGGCACAGACTAATGTCATTATGACCTGTTGAAGAATCTATTTTTACAATGTTGTGGTGATTTTGAATTTTCTAGGATCTGACTTGGCTCAAAAAAATTCAGCTAGACACTGAGAGATGTTGGCAGTTCCAGTTAAGGGTTCTCACTAAGAGAACATTTAGGCAGAATAGTAAAACTATTGTAGTAAAAATAACTAACTGGAAAAAAAAAAAAAAAAGGAAAAAAAATAGAAAGCAATGCAAGCTATAGAAAGGATGGCAAAAGTCCTCCTTCAGTTTTTTTCCTGTTGGTTCCCCCCTGCACCCTTTTGTGGTCCTGCCATCATAGGAATAACAATGGCTATGAGCTTGGATGCCTAAAACTGTAAACATCCTTTTGCTTTTACAAGATTTTTCCCACATGGCAGCGCCTCTGAAAACAGATGGTTAATTAGCTGTCTCTGTTCTTGCTGTGTGTCTCCCCCTCAGCTGCTGAGTTTTCACATTTGTGTTAGTTTAGTATAGCTGCTCCTGAACTCCTCTGTCATCTTGTCTGAGCGTGTAATTATAGTTGGACATTTCCAGCCTCTGCTAGGAGGTTGATAGTTTATTATGAAGAATTTCTGTAACTGACAAACCAAGTCATTGAAATGTTGCCGGTAGTGATTCTAACCATCATATAGTTCGTTTACAGCATTTCTAAATGCTGTGATTTTCCTTTGTTTTTTTTTAATAAGGGTATGTGTCTTCCAAGTATTTAGAGAGTGGTAGGCTTTTAAGGAGTGGATAAAGGTTTTAGAGCTGTGTTTAGTACTTTCTGTGGAATAGGCTTTTTAAACATTTTAAGCTTTTCTCATGCAAATTAAACTTGCCTTTTGCAAGCTGAATGTTTTTGAGCAATCAAGAGGCTCGTTGACCGTCCAGATTATGCACTCGAATTTCTCTTGCAAATTTTTTCAGCATCTAATTAAAATTATTACCTCTGCTTTAGGAATTTATGAAGAAATTGGAAGAGAAAAAGGCAGAACTGAATAAAGCAACAGGTATGGGAGAAGCTATTCTGGCTATCTGCCACCCAGACTCCATCACCACCATTAAGCACTGGATAACAATCATCAGAGCCAGGTTTGAAGAGGTCAGTATATGTCAAACCATCTTCATTGCAGCAGTCCATCTTTGATTGGAACATAGTTGACAATTAATATGGTAGTTACACTGGGAGGAAAAGATCCAGCTGTTGAGAAATAAACATTTAAAATACCTATGGGGATGGATGTTAATACCATGTTTCCCTAGGTTTTATTTCAAAACTTGCAGGGCTTTAAGAACTAAAGCAGATGGCCAAGATTCCTTGTTTGTATGTATTAAAGGAAATACTGTCTGACACTTCCCAAGTGAGGAAAGCCAACAGTTTCTAGTTGTAAACTTAAAAGTTACAAAGGACAGAAAATACAGGGCAAATGTGAAGGATTTTCTGATTGCATCAGAGAGGATTTCTGTCCAACGTATTCTTAATCTAGAGATTTTCAAATTATTGAAGTGGCTGCAGGTAGGTTGCAGAGTGTGTACCACCCTCAACTGTTAAGGTGGTATTTTCTGTTTTATATTAAGTTTAAAGAAAAACAAAATACTGGTGTTAGTGAAGTATGGCTTTAAGAATGCCCAGGAGGAAGATGGATGCCAAATCCTGTGTGATTCAGAAACTTACACATATTGTCTGTTATAATTCTTAATATGTTGCCTGAAAGTGCTAGTTACTGTGTTTAACAGCACCTAATCCTGAATATCTGTGGAAAAAGTGTGTTGAATTAGGAATTCTAGTTACCTAGCTACCTTTAGTGATCAGCCCCTACATTTAACACCTTTGATGTTCAAACATCAATAGGCCTAAGAGGTAGCTCTGCGTTTACTGTCAGTAGAGCAATTTTAAATACATTGTGAAGAATTTCAGATGTGCACCTACTCACACATTGGTTCCTTTATCAAGGTTGTAGCATGGGCTAAACAACATCAACAGAGACTGGCAGGAGCCCTGGCTGGACTTATTGCTAACCAGGAATTGCTGGAAGCCTTGCTGTCCTGGTTGCAGTGGGCAGAGACCACACTAACTGAAAAAGATAAAGAGGTTATCCCCCAGGAGATTGAGGAAGTTAAAGCGCTTATAGCTGAACATCAGGTAAGGAATGTTAAGTGTCACTTATGTGGTGCTCACATCTCAGCTAGGATTCTTAATCAGGTGTGAATTTCCTTAACTATTTTTTCTCATAATTGAATTCCTTTTCAGATACTCGGTCATGTGTTTTGTATGTGTACGATGTGCTTGTAGTTTATTCAATACAGAGATTAAAAAAACAACCAATCAAAAATTTAGTGTCACATTGTTCTAAAAGCAAACCTACAATTCCCCAGAGGAAGAAGGATAATAATAAGAATAAAAGAAAACCCACATGAAATATATTACAGTGCTGCCACCTTAGAACTAGTGTTGCAGTGAGGCTTCACTGATTGGGTTTCAAAATCTTGTTTATGAAGTACCAGAGGGAGCTGCTGGTGCAGTGAATGCTCACAGACTTACCCCAGCTTACACACCAGAGCTGTGTCACTTCTATGAACTGCAGTCCGAACAGCAAGTACTCAGAGGTAAAATATTGTTGTATAGCACCTCACCATATACGTTTAATAAAGGAGTTTGACAGGCTTGTTTTTGGATTTAGGCTTCCTTTAACAGCCAGGGCGTAGTAGTTTTAAAAGCTTATACTGCCTATTTTTCTTATCTACAAAGCCTTTAACTGTGTCTATTTTGTGAGTTTAGCATTATAAGTGTCTTTCTGTGCCTTTCTTTATAACTTTGTTGTTTATCTTTTTTATATGTTTTTCATTCCTGTAGTTACTTTTGTGTATTGTTAATTAATATCACCTGTATCTGATTGTAGACATTCATGGAGGAAATGACCAGAAAACAACCTGATGTGGATAAAGTTACAAAGACCCATAAAAGAAAAGCACTTGAACCCACGCCAGTACATTCTCATATTCCTGTCCTTGATAAGGGGAGAGCGGGCAGTAAGTAACGATGTATTTTGGGGAGGGTCACACATACCATTGCTTTTTCTATAAAGTTTACAGATTGCTAATAATCTAATACGTTTGATTAGCTTTGAATGAAACAGGGTGAAATTCTCTTGGCTGATTTTCTAATTATCTCTCCTTTTTCATTGTGAGGAAATTTCTCATGGCCGACATGTATTTTTAAATTTTGTTCTAATCTTCATCAATACCTGTTTTTAAAGTGTGCAGCCTTTCATGTGCTATTAAACTTCCAAGAGCAAGTACATGTTGAGTCTTTGCAAACCTACTGTTACCTGAAAGTGCAAACAACTTCCCATAAAGATTTAGTGCCAAAATTGTGCTCTGTCTATGGAATTACATGAATCCAATAAAATGTGTATTTAGTGAAGTTGAATGGAAAGTGAATCAAGTGAGGAAATTGCTTTTTGTATTTTTAGATATACTTACCCATTGTATTTTATACTTACCCATACATGGAACCTACTTCTAAAATCAGATTGTTTACTTTCCAACTCTGAGAGATTCACAAAGATTTAATTTAACCCGTGCAGTAGAGCCACTACTAGCTGCTTCTGGCTAGACAAAAGCAACTGTAACCACCATTTGATCATTCCCCAAAAATGGTAAAAAAAAAAAAAAAAAAAAAACAAAACCCCATTACATATCGGGATATTATCTCCTTATTTGGGACAGGAAGGAGTAATTTTAGGAGGGTCAAGTAGCCTTCCTGTGAATGTTTGTTTTGTTTGAACTGTGTGAGACTTATGCATTTTATCATGTGTTAACAGGGAAGCGTTCCCCAACACCAGGCATGTATCCATCAGCAACTCAGGCACAAATCGAAACCAAGAATCCACGGGTAAACCTTTTAGTCAGCAAATGGCAGCAGGTTTGGCTTCTGGCCTTGGAAAGGAGAAGAAAACTTAATGATGCTTTGGACAGACTTGAAGAGGTCAGAAAAGGACTGTACAGAATATACATACATTTTGCGTAATATTCTTTACCCTGGGTTAAATTGTCAATACTGTAAACAACTTCCATATTTGTTGTGTTATACTGTATGACACAGCTAACTGAAAACACTGTGATACATGTGCTGTAGTGTACTTTAAAGGCTGTCATCATTTTAAATGAGGAGAGTTAAGAGATTTAAAATGTTTATGTAGGTCCTCAAAGAACTAGTTATTCAACAAAACGCAGATGGTTTCTATCTCGTTGATGTTTTAGACTGATGGTTTTCAGCTGAAAAAAAATTCTTTCTGTTTTTTATTAAGCTGAGAGAATTTGCCAACTTTGATTTTGATATTTGGAGGAAAAAATACATGCGATGGATGAACCATAAGAAGTCTCGTGTGATGGACTTCTTTAGGAGGATTGATAAAGATCAAGATGGAAAGATTACAAGACAGGAATTTATCGATGGAATTCTTTCTTCAAGTAAGTTTTAAAATTATGTTGAATTTGGAACAAACACCTCATGAAGTCTTATTGTCTATATAATGTACACTAAAAAGGTTTATTGTGTTAGAAGGTCGCAGATTTCCCTTTTGAATTTATTAATTATTATTACTTTATAATTATTTTACTTGAAAATATTTCTAGATTCTAGAAACTCTTTCTAGTTCTTTTACATTGGGAATCAGGTTACAAATGACAGATTTATATTATTGTCTAGCTAGCAGTTTGCTGGCTTACTGGACTTGGATTGTTATTCCTACAGTACAGTAGCTACTTCAACAATTACTTTTCATCGATTAGTCATAATAGTAAAATGTACCATAGTAGTAAAATGAACCTACAGATGATTTTCAAAATCAGATCATATGATCATATGATTTTTATCAAAGAACTTGCATTGGATAATTTCTATTATAGAAGGAAACCATGTAATTTTTGAAACCAGTGTTTCCATAAACCATGACAATATTCATATACCTATATAATAAGGGTCAAAATGCCAAGCAATCAAACTAGAAAGGGACTTTTCCTAGCTTTCCTGATGGATTAGTATGCATTAGTTATGCACAGCTGGTGGTAACATAAGTCTTCCACATCATGTCTGTATGTGATCATGTTTCCTTTTAGCAACAGGCTCATAACAGATAAGGTCCTACTTCTTAAAATAATCCTTTATCTTCAAATCATGGACACTTTTGCTTTGAACAGTAAAGACTGGGAATTGGGTTGCTTTTAGCATCTCACAGTTTGTCAGTAGGAGGATATTGTAGTCTATATATTTTCCCCCAGCTTTAGGAAATGCAATTACACGGACATTGCTGTTTTGCATGAAGTGATTGAAACTCATGGAAAAAAACCTCGTATCACCGAGAGGTTAAATAGCTTACCCATTTAACTTGGTATCAATTTGTTATGACTGCTAAACCCTCATGATGTAATCGCTGTTCATCACCTTGAAATTTCCTTTCACCATTTCATTGAGAATCTGCGTGAGGGTTAATATTTTGCTGCAGTGAACTTCATCTAAAGAAGGATTTCACAAAACACCATGCATGGATCTGCATTGGGAAGGCCTTGCATTCCAGATTTAATTAGTCTGGATCTCTCCCCCCCCCCCCCCCCCCCCCCCACCCCCCCCCGTGCTGTGGGGTGGCCCAGTTCTAGTTCCATTTCCCTCTGAGGAACCATTTCCGACGACTTGAGTGGATGGGGGGGAGACTCCAGCACCAGGGGTTTCTTCAGGTCCTGAGCCTGGAGGGGAGAGGTGCTCCCCCTTCTCCCCACCCACGTGGCCCCATGGCAGACACAGAGACAGCACACCAGCGTGGAGAGGAGGCAAGAGGGAATTTATTGTTGGGGTGGTTACATTTATAGGGTTAGAAGGACTCACAGAGTAACCAATTAGAAGTCTCAAGGGGCTTACAGGAACACCCAATCACAGGAAGGGGTTAACAAGGTCCAATGAGAACACCTTAGGACATCTTCCCAGGACATTCCTGCATGGGATAACACTTGTTGTGGGGGGTCTTGGGAAGAAGAAAGCATGAGTTAGCAAAGAGACTACAAAAAGCCATTTTGAAACATGTTTAAAGCACAGTTTTCTCATATACTGCAGATTTACTGCCACAAATTAGCAGTGAAATGCTTGCTTGACCTGTCCTCACTAATAATTTGTCTTGTTAATTTGTGGTATTTTAGGCACTTTGAAGATCAAAACGTTAAAAAAAACCCCAACATATACCTTACAGTTTAATCTGTGCTCTCACTTCTGTGTCTGTCTTCAAGCCATTTTAATCCAGTACCCAGGTAATGCTGGAGATCCAGATTGTGGGGTTTTTTTCAGAAAGATTCCTTCACTCTTTTGAATGTCGTTGGTTTTTTTGATAGACATTATCTGTCACCAAATGCCTAATAACCTTTTAATATTTGTAATAAAGCCTTTCATTGTATTGGGTTTGAAAAGCCAAAAAATTTAGCTTTTGTTGTTGTCGTCTTTGTCTTGCAGAGTTCCCAACAAGCCGACTTGAAATGAGTGCTGTTGCAGACATTTTTGATAGAGATGGTGATGGATATATTGACTATTATGAATTTGTAGCAGCTCTTCATCCAAATAAGGATGCATACAAGCCTCTCACAGATGCTGACAAAATTGAAGATGAGGTACATTTTCTGCTTTCTGAGGTTGCATTCTGTTCTACAGGGGTCACATTCTTTAATAATTCATTTTACTTTCACTCCTATATTATTTGAAGTTTACTAGGTACACAAGTCTTTAGAAATGTGATATTTACAGTAAAGTAATTATCCAGTTGTGGTTTTTTGCAGGTTACAAGGCAGGTAGCGAAATGTAAATGTGCAAAACGGTTTCAAGTGGAACAGATTGGGGATAATAAGTACAGGGTAAGTCTTTTAAGGACCTCAGTTCTTTCAGCTTTCTTCATATGACATGGTTTATGCAAGGAATTAAGCTATATTGATTTATAGGAATCTTTTATGGCAATTATATCTTTTCTTTAAAACATTTTATGTTTTTTTCTTATTAGAACATATAGATTAAAAATATGGAAAAATGCTGCTGCTTCTATTTATTTTTGCTGAAACTACTGAAGCTGTTTTTAATTATAAGGAATTTTTAAAAGCTAACTGCGTGCATATAACACAGACACATAAATACATACAAACAGTGTCTCCTTAGAAGCCAGTCTTTTTGCCTGGATACCCAAAGTGTTTAAACTGTAGCTGATTTTCCATTAATTTAATGAAAACAGTGATTTTTGTTTTCTTGTGGTATTGTGTTGTACTTCAAAAATGTTTTACCGAAGTGTATTCAATCACTTTTACCCTCTCTTGTCCTTTTTTTGGAACACACATACTTCTGAAGGTTAGGCAAAGTGTTAGGTATCTGCAGAATGATTTTAGTAAAGACAAATAAATATCACATAGTGGAAAAAGATCTGCTACCCCTGGATCCAAAAACCAGAACAATTTCAAGTGGAATATGTGATATTCAGCTAAGAGAGATTAATAGATACTTGTAGATTGTTTTAAAAGACCACAGAAACAGCAATGGGAAGGAAACAGAGGCCTTGAATATTTTCCATATTCAGTCTCTGGATGGCTAGCTACCTGCTCATCCCTCAAGTAGATACTTTATTTAGAGTGTCTAATGTGTTAGTTTGCATGTGTTCTAGAGTCATGTAGAGAATTTCCTGTAAACTAATCGTGTCTTTCTTCCATTTTTCATTTCTTATCAGTTCTTCCTGGGAAATCAGGTATAAACCAGTGGAATGTGTTATGAAGTTTCTTTCCCCCCCCCCCCCTTTTTTTTTTTCTTTTTTTTTCTAATGCATAGTGATTTAAGCTTGCCATCCATTCATCTTCAGCTAATTCATTGCTGGTCAGCTGTGGTATTTCTTTAAATGCTATGGAGCGTTCCTTGTCTCAGGATCCCTCCTCTACAATCCCTCACCTGCTTTCTTTGGCAATTTTTCTCATTAAGGAGATTACTTTTAAAGGAACCAGATAATGGTCAGCAGCAATTCCCACAGCAAAAAATCTTGAGCATTTAAACTGTAATTATAGAGATTACTATTATCTAATCAGTTTTCACCTTTATAGTGGAATCCTTCAAAATTCTGTAATATCTTTTTTAGGCCATTAGATTAAAGGCTAATTGTGGTAAACAGATCCCAGAGTCATATCACTTATTTATTGCAAATTACATAAAAAATACTTTCATCTTTGACAAAAAAAAAAAAAAAAGGTAGATTCAAGCAGACTGGTTAAGAACCTGGCTGATTTGTGGTATTTTGTGTAGTAACACAGTGAATCATTAAATACGTATTTTAGAAATAGGCAAAATAAACTTGCTGTTCCAGTTCAGACTACTCCCTCTCCCAAAGTGTTTTCAAAGAGCTATGGCAAGTCTGTAATGTACTGGAGCTGTGTTTAAACATACTTTGTGTCTGCTGGGTCACTGGTGAGTCATACCGAAGCCGTACAGGGAGGAAATGTTAACCAGTCCTTACTTATTCCTGTGGTACATACTGATACACAGCCTCTGAAAGTGCTAAATCATATTTGCCTGGTAAGAATGGAAATACCTTATGCAAACTAGATACCATTAGTATCTTATGCTTTTAAAAAGACACATAAAATGTATATGTGTAATACATTCTGGATATGTTAGTGTTAACAGCATTAGCCATTTTAAATCTAAAGATTTTGCAAATGTGGGCGCACTCTTATTTACTTGCAAAGGCTGTTGAAGTATAGAAGAAAGCACAGAGCAGTGCATAATCTTACCACATGCCTCAAGCAATATATCTAAACAATAATTGAAAATGTTTTTCACATATAGAACAAGTCTCTCTTTTAAAAGACTTTGAAATTATGTTAATCCTCTTATCTGCCATCTGTACTCTCAGATCTGGGAAACATACAGCATTTCTTGAGAGCATCTCTTACTGGTGCAGAACAGTACCATGGTAAAAAGCAACCACAGGAAGTTAGCTGAGGCTTCCCTAGTGACAGTGACGTTATATGGCTATTGTCAAGAGCAGGACTTTTTGTAGCTTAAACTCCTTTATGCTTTTAGCTCTGATTATTTGAAATAATGTTAAATACTGTTTAAGGAAAGTTGGTATCCTGGCTATTTTAAGAAGGAAATTAACTGAGTTACCATTAGAAGAAATGCCTTGTGTTGCTTTCCAGGAGCCCCACTGTCTGAATTAACAGCAGCTAGGTGGGCAGTTTCCAAAGGACATTGCCTGATGGAGTCTAACTGAATAATTAAGCTGGGATGGGAAGAAAAATAAAGAAAAGAAAAAAGATACTAATCTTTAGAATTTAGAAAAAATTCTCAGTAGGATCAAGCCAATGAAAATAAACAGCATCAATTTAGATGCCATTTTTTAAAAACTTTGATCTCCATATATAAAATGGTTGTTTGTTTGGCACATATTGAATCCATTATTAAAAAGCCTTTACAAATAATGATCACATGAATGTTCTTACTTATCGCAAATACAATTTATTATTGAATTAAGCAGCAAATTTTGCTTTTGTTTGGTTCCTAAAAGTAATAGTCCTTTAAACTTATTCTCTCTTCTTGGCTTAAGTAGTATCAAACAACTAAAGTCATCTAACAAGTAGGGAGCACGTTTGTGTGGTTTGCATTTAAAGCATTTCAGTCCCCTCACTGGAGCAAGTAGGTACAGTTGAATTATGGCCAGCCTACTCCAAGGGTCAGAGATTGTTTTAAAGAGGTGCATTCAACTCCTGTTGGTTTTAGCGAGTGCTCTGCATGTTTGCGTGAGAGTGCACTGCACTCGACCTGATGATCTGCTATAAAAATATTTTAGTAGCATTGGCTAAAAAATACTGAATTCTGGTTAGTTTTCTTGAGATTGCGAGGTCAACATTTTGGTCATGTTGTCTTTGATCCAATTTTGAATGGAGGTACTATGTACAGGTTTTGTTACACAGGTTTCAAGAGCAAAATATTCATTAAGCCTGGCCATCGGCCCAAGGGAAAAATGGACTCATACCAGAACTTAGTATGAAACAGGTTATTGTGCATCTCTGAACTGTGAGGAACCTTGATGTGTAGACAGAGGAGTGACAAACAGTTTATAACAAAGGACAGTAATGATAGCTATCAATCATTCATTGCTTCTTTAATGTTCCTTTCCTCACATGCACCTTACTATAGGTGAGCAGTGTCAGTGCTATATCTGAAAATATTCCTACAAATGAATCAATTCATAGAACTGTGCAACACTCATAAGACATTGAATTTCCAGCCCACATGCTGATTGTTTAAAGTGATGCTGCCTTTCTTTCAGCTGACATCATTAAAAATCAAGACTGTTGCAGAAGAGAGTATGCTTAAGATTTTATCAGTGAAATAATGCAAATAGGTCTTCATTAATTTGCACAAAAACAGACTGTAACCATTTAAATAATGTATTACTAATTTTGCTTCCTTTATGACCTCAAACATTTGAGAATCAAGCATAAAATTAAACTTGAGATTCTTTCTTAACATTCTGCCATCTTCTTTGGATTAGTGCAGTGCCATCTGATTTGAAATCTTAACAGCTTTAATAATCTGCATAAATAAATTGATTTTTTTAGCATTTACTAATAATTAAATATCAAAATAAACTTTTTTAAGTGTCTGATTTTTAACCTGTCAGTGCTGAACTGCATCTGAATGACTGAGAACCTCAGACTATTGTTTGATTCTTATTGCAGTTTGGTGACTCTCAACAACTGCGCCTTGTTCGTATCCTAAGGAGTACAGTCATGGTTCGTGTTGGAGGTGGCTGGATGGCACTCGATGAGTTCTTAGTGAAAAATGATCCTTGCCGGGGTATGTAACGGAACAGTTAAAATGAACATGCTTATTATTATTTGAATGCAGTCACCATTCATTGTCTCAAGATGGAGATTGACTTGTATAAAATGCCGGTTCTTGTAAACATCATCTCACTAAATGTCACGTTTTTGTAAACTTTAAATCCCATGGTTGAGATCCTCTTTGGTTGCACTAATGTATGTCTGGAATAGCTGTGGTGTCTTCTGCACAGTTCCTTCAGTGTTAAAGTGGTCTAATTAAGAATTGAACTTAGCCCAGATGGAGTTTATGCCATGTAAGCTGCTTGTATGACTTGGCAGAAGTAGGACACAGAAATTTACAATAAAACCTTCTTAGCAAGAGAGAAGTTTTAAGGCAATAAATCAAAATAAGGCAATTTAACTGATGAGTAACACTACCACCACCACCATAAGAAACTTCTCTGACCAGTAGCTGCGCCTAGTCTTTCAGTCTCTACCTTTGTAACCCTTTCTTTTCATTGGCATCCTCCCCAGAACCGCTTTGCAGAGCCCCGAGCCTTATACAAAGCAAGTGGAAAATGTTCTGGTCTGGAGGACGCTGTGCTCCAGAGAAGCAGGGAGCACTCTATCACTGTGCACTCCAGAACATTGTATCAGGTGCATTATATTCTCAGTACACAGCAGTGGAAAGCTCACTTCTGTAGTGGGAAAGTAGGCTGTCTGGTACTGTTCTTGGAGGGACAGCTGGAGATAGGAAAGAATCCATTTGTGAAGGAAGTGGAAGAGACACAAGTCAAATAGCAGCCAGAGTAGTAAAATTGCAGAAAGTAATGTTCACTATTTTCAGAGTGACCTGATGTTCTGTAGCTAGGTAATACCATCCTATTAACTTGCAGTATTAAATTTACTTCATTTTTACTTCTTAGGAGTTCTGTAGAATGTAGTAATAATCAATATTGTAATAGTGTGAGAACAGCACAGAAGGGTTCAGGAATGGCAAATGAGCTAGTGAAGACAGTGACACAGCTGTTCTGTAGACCTTTCTCCAGTGTCAGCCATCTCATATAGCTTCTACTTTGGAAAGTTTCTGTTACAGACCTTGAGAGAGGGGAGAGCTTGTATTTGTAGCAGTTGTCATGCTAGGTCAAGGGTGTTAAATCCAAAAAGAAGCTACCATAAACCCCCTATTAAATGCAAAATGAACAGAACCCTTGTAAGGACTGGCAGTGTGCCACTAAGGCCTGAAAACCTTTCTCTACAGGCTTGAAAGGTACCCACAAAACTTCTTATCATATTGAAACCCATAACATCATAGTATCATGAAAGCACTGTCATAACTTTACAATGACATATCTGACTTTTTTAGCAGGGTTAAAAATAGTCCTTGTGCTTTCCAGTTTATTGCATATATTGTTTATTAAATGTAAGAATAGTATTACATTTATTGGTGTTACCACAAGTCTACCTGAAATTTAGCATCTGATTTTGCACTATGGAAAAGTCATTTATGCCTGCAGAGCCATCCTTACTTTATAGCTTTCTATTCCTATTCCTCAAAAGTACAGGGTAGTAAAAAATGAAGTGTACCTCAAAATATCTGGCTTCATTGAAGGGTTAACTTGGTTAGTTCTGTTGTATCCCAAACATTTTTCTCAGGCCTATTGACGGGGTAGACTGTTGCAATTTGTTCTTGGCTTGACGCTGAGAGATATAATACTTAATAACTGTCTAATTAATTTATTGGAATTCCTTATTACTATCCTCAGTATTGTCTGTAGTACTTTGTTCCTTTTTCTTGGAAATAAGTGAGCAGAGCAGTGGGTCTAAAGAAACACCAAGCTCTATAAAATCATCCAGATGGTGGATGTTGTACATTGGTACCTAATCCTAGTCTGGTTGAAGTCAGTGATGCGGATTAGTCATGAATGCCAGTGGTGCAGGTTCAGACTTTTCCTTGACCTCTTCACCTAGCAAATCCTTATTTCCACCAAGTGCTCCTCATGTATTCAGATAAATCACATTTTAAAGAACTGTTGTCATAAGCAGCTTTAAAAGTATTGCACCTATTTACATAAAATCACTTTAGCTTATATTACTTCTTTATGTCAGCAGATAAATACTGTTGTTACACAAGTATATTTGGGACTGTAGCTGTTTGTCCAAGCACTATTTCCTTTTGGCATAGGAAACCTTTGAGAGCTCGCCTCAGAGCACTTAGGGACAGCTTTTGCTCAAGTCCTGTCTTTTGGCCTGGTGCTCCAAGTCTCTTGCATATGCAGCTGCTGTACTTGATTTCTTCTCCTGCTAACGATTTTCTTTAATGTGACCCATGTCCTGTGTCATTTTTTCTAGTTCATCATCACGGGAGTAAAATGTTACGTTCGGAATCAAACTCTTCAATTACCACTCAGCCTACTATAGGTTGGCAAATCCCTCTCTTTGTCTCCTTCTCCTCTTCTTCTCTCTCTTCATTTCCTTCCCATTTTTTTAAGATAGAAATATATATATATATACTTTTAACAATGTGCTTCACCCATCATATTTAGCTTAACATGTTCCTACATGGGCTGGTGCTTTGCAAGCTAATTTTTTGACACGCTTGAAGAGTGTTTCAAAAACAATTGTCATTCACATTGATACAGTTAAACGCTAACATGTCTTGCATTTATTCATGCGGAACATCCTCTCATATGTGTGTTTGTATGTGTGTGTGAGTGCTTAGCCACCAATTACCTCATCATAGTTTGGGTTTTATGTTCATCATTGCATGTTGCCAAACTACATAACTTCATAGTTTTGAATAAATATATTTGCTGCTTTCCTATAAGTTGTACTTAGCTATTTCTCCTGGAACATCCAAGCAAGTATTATTTATTATAAATAGCTGTAGAGATAGCAAAACTGCTCATCAGGTTGTGTCTATGTATTAATAGTTGGTTGATTAACAAAGATTTAGCACGTTGAGCATTCCATTATCACGCTGACTTCCTTTGACAGTGGTTCATTCCTGCTGGCATAAAGTGTTAGAATAAGCGAGTTCTGCACATAACTCTTCTGTGTCCAAAATAAATGCATTACACAATAATGCATTTTATTTATTGTTAAAATGTGTTGGAGTTGGCATGGCAAAAATGACCATAAACAGGCTTGTGACAATTTTCATATCTGATTAAATGGAACACCTTTCTCTGCAGCTAAAGGGAGGACAAATGTGGAGCTGCGTGAAAAATTCATTTTGGCAGATGGTGCCAGTCAGAGCATGGCAGCTTTCCGACCAAGGGGCCGTAGATCACGACCCTCTTCGAGAGGTGCTTCTCCCAACAGATCTACTTCTCTGTCAAGTCAAGCTGGCCAGGCAGCTGCCACACAGGGAGTTGCTACAAGTACACCGAAGGTAAGGAGAAGCGTACAAAACTGCACTAGTTAACAAATGGGGTATAGATTGAATTTTTGGTTTTTTTCCTTGCTCAAGTAATATTGTTGCTTTCCCTAGCTCATAGGGAAGAAGTATCTCCATTTTATTTCATAGTCTGGGGAAGATCTGAGAAGTCTTTTCAGTGTATTTCCTCTACTCTTTATTTGCAATATGGGAATAGAAGAAGTCCACATTTAAGGTGCCACATGAGCTAACTGGCAGTTTGGGAATTGCTCTGAAAGAGCCCCAAACTTCTCCATTTTGTTTAAAACATAAGCTCTGCCATCTCTTTGGTTGAGAACATTTGTCATTAACTCCTTCTGCTTAGTTTTTATTTCTACTGTGAGATTTGATCTCCCTATGAAAGCCTGGGTATCCTTCTCCATGACATTGTTTTCCATCTACTGTCCTTCATATTTTGATTTACCATTGTTTCATACAGACACCCCATCATTTAATACGCAACTATGGTAAACCATGGTTGACAAACAGCAAAACATCAACTCCTTCTAAGCCATCAGAATCCTCAGACTATCAAGGGTCATCTGCAGAGGTACAGTAAGGACAGAGATTCTAGTCTAATGACCTTCCTTCACTAAAACTGTCCCTTCACTAACAGCCGCTAGAGTTCAAGTGCTTCAGAGCTGCAACATCCTGTGCACATTAATGCATTGTCTTTATTTTAGACCTTTGTCAAATTATTTCTTCCCTTTTTTTTAAAGTACTTTAAAAAAAAGGCATTTTAATATAATTTACATGTTTCCTTCCTAAAATTGTTTACTTTGGGTTCATAAAGTACTGTAATATTCCTGAACTGCAGGAACGAGATTAATAAATCATGATCTCTAGTGCAAAACCACTAATAAAGAAATACCCAATCACTTTGCAGAGGGTGGCAAAAAAGACTGACTTTGATATATAAATGCTTCCAGCAACAGAAAGTTTTGTTTAGGGGGGGTAGTGACCAATCGTTGCTCTAATAAGATTGCTATTTGATGACTTAACAGGAAACCAGCATGTCTTACATAGAAATTGCTAGTATAGAAGTTAGGACTGTGCTGGCAATTAGGCTGTGTGACCAAAATTTGAAGGGGCTTGGAGCCAAAGTGTCTCCTCTAATGTCATTACAGTCAGTGAAAAGATTGCAGCTGTATCGTGTCATTTGTGGGAGTTACTCTTGCCCTGAGTTAGGTGGAGGGCTCAGTGAGGGGAAACCTTTTGCTACCACTACTCTGTTGTATCTGCTTTTCACAAATCTGCACTTTGATGCCTATGGTTATTCCTGTGACACCTTCTGGTGTGAAGTTTACATAACCTCAGCATGGCTTTGCTCAAAGATGCACAATGAACTTCTCACTCCCTCCTTCTGTGTGTGTTACTTGTGCACTGCAGGTGTGCCTGTGTTTACAGCACTTCAAGCACACCGGGCTGTTGCTTACAATGATTACCAGCACAGATTTTAGTCAGTTGTCAGTTTCTAATATATTCATGTATTTTCTTTCATCTCTTAGCTGGTAACTGCATTGAAAGATTAATTGATGGTACTTTAAAGAGTTTATAGACATGGGAAGGTGTTGTTTTCATTGGATTACAATGACAGGAAAGCAGTTGGCCTGATTTCAAATGGGGGCGCTGTATTTCTTATCTGCTCTTACAACTACCAGTAGTTTCAGTCAGTTCCTTTTATGTAAACCACCGCGGTTTAAGATTATAAATGGAATGGTCAGGGTGGGGTAAGTTGCAGTGGATTTCTGAGGCATTCTGTAGCATTTTCTGCCCAAGAGAGCCATTATTTATTTTATAAGTTTATATTTTTTATGCATTTGGGCTTAGGGCAAAACTAAAGAACAGGCTTGTTTTCCTTTTCACACCAGTGATTCTACCCCAATGCCTTGCCCAGAGTGCAGCAGCTCCAGTGGAGGTAATAGAAAGTGTTCCCTTTCTCCTTATCCTCCCAAGCAGTGTCTTATAACAGAGAGGTACCCAGGGTGTGTCTAGCTGAACGTCAAGCATTGTACTTGGCTTTAAAGAAAGTTTAACACTGCGACCACTGTTGAAGCCAGCAGATTGTCTGTTCCCTAACATCTCAGTGTTCTTTTGTTCAGCTGTGCCAGACGTGGTCTGAGCTGGCAGCTGCCAGGAAAGGTCCTGCCAGGCCTCTGCTTGGTTCTTAGCTCAAGGCAGCTCCCAACACACTCCTCTGGATTTTGGTTTTCAGTACCTAATTCTACTTACTATGGTATGGGGATCAAAGGCACAGAACACACTTCACAGTCTGGTTTTATATTTTGGATATTTACTTAGTATTTTTGTGCTAATTACTGTGAATAATGTAGTTTTTCTCCAATTTGCACTTTATTTAGTGTGTTATATGCATTTTGAGATATGAGGATTTAATTCTTGTGGTTTTGAAAGAAATTTTTTTTATTTGGGACAGATTGTAAATCAAGACTCATTTTATTTCAAAAAAAAGAAAGCAGGCAGGGTAAGACTGTAGAGTAGAGAATTTGCAGACAATATAAGACAGATAATGACAACTGAAACTTTTTAATTAGTCCTATGCCCTTTTTTCTGGTTGTGTTTTTGGGGGGTTGATTTTTTTGTTTGTTTTGGGTTTTTTTCTTAGCAAAAGGTTTTTGAAATTTGGTAGCCTTGTTTCAAATATAAAAATAATTTGTAGGCAAAACAAATGTATTCATCACCTATAACCACAGTCTGAATGGTGGAAAGTTAAGCTATGCAGACATAAAACCTCAAGATGTACCATCAACTAATCTTACGTGCCTGACTAATTATAAGAAGGTAGCTTTTTTCTTTTGTTATATGCATTATGATACAAACAAAATTTTAAACAAACTTTTAAAAGAATTTTTTTTTGGTCTTTTATATTTGGCTACTTCAAATACAAACTGCTCAAGGAACATTCAAAACTTCACATCATGAAAAATGTCCATAGTGGCTCAAACCAGAGCCACTGTATTTCAGATTTACAGTGGATGTTACGAAGATCATATTCTAAGCTATGTAGCACCTATGACCAGTCCTTATCTTCAGCTGAAAACAACATTTGTTTATTGTGTTTTGCTTTGCATAGGGAACACCAATTCAAGGAAGTAAGCTTAGGCTGCCAGGATATCTATCAGGGAAGGGTTTCCAATCTGGAGAAGACAGTGGCATCCTGTCAACAGCAGCTACCAGAGTCAGAGCTCAGTTTGCAGGTGAGTGTCTTGACTTTACAGCTTGATCTAGCACTTGCTTTGTTTTCCACCTGAATACTTAGGGTCACATTAGGGTTTGATGGAGATGTCAGAAGAGTGGGAAGGAGTGAAAGTCCTACTGTCTGCCCATTACTGAGGGTGCACATAGTCAGGGTAATAGTCCTCCGTTCACATGGTTGCACAGCAGCTATGCTCAGCTCTGGATGTGCAAATTTGTAACTGCAATCTTCTTGACAATGGTATCTCCAATGTTTCTGCCTGAGGAACTGGGGAAGAAGCATTTACTTAAAAAGAAAGGGTCCAGTTCTTCATAGGATTCAAGTTATGCTCAACTGTGATGGAGAAAAGGGTTCACTTAGTCATTACTTGTCCATTCCTTTTGAAAGAACTACAGGGAGCAGCTGTAGGTGACCTTATTAATGGAATAGCCCATACAGATTTTTAAATCAGTATATGAAAATAGAAAGCAGTGAAGCTGTGCTCTTCCAGGATCCTCACAGCAGCTCTATATAAGGGAGAAGGATGGATGATTAGAACAGAAGATAGCTCTACTGGCTTTTCCTCTCATCTTAGGCTCTGCAAAGCATACTTAGCAGCAGTGGGAAATCCTGATCAAAGAGTACATGTCTTTTAAATTACAGGTGATTTTAAAAAAATGAGCCACCTAATATTTCAGTTTCAATATAGTGTTCTTCACACATGCAAGGAACCAGATTTGTGAAGATCAAAAATACTTAATAAGTAATTGGAAAATTCTGAACAACCACATTAATGATTTTCTGTTTAAGATTCTTTGTTGTGGTTTTTTCTTCATGGCGCGTTGTCTGGGCAGGCTTTTACTTTAGCAGGCTTACTGAGGGCTCATTTACTCAGCCCTTTGTTTGGGAGAATGTATACTCTGCCCTTGTTTAGTTGCAGCTTTCAACTGTGTGAGTTTGATTTTTTTTAAATTTTCTTAATTTGCATTTCCAAGGTGCATATACTGAGAAATCATGATAGAATGAAGAGGCCAGATACTAATTTTTTTTTCAATTCATAGCTGAGAAAATGGCAGGGGAAAGAAAAGGCTCTGACTGTTGAGTGAAGATACAGTGCATGTCTAGTAAGTCATGAAAACCAGGATAACACATTTTTAATGAGATGTGCTAGTGACAAATCAACTATGTATCAGTGTTTGATCTTGAATTTCCTTCTGTTTAGTGTGAGATACAGCATCATTTAACTTGCCTGACAGAGGTCTAAAGTTTAGTTTGTGCAATAAGGAATTTTTGGGGTTGCTAAAGACCTAGGAAAGACCTGCACATCTTTTCCAACCTTACCTTTAATATTGATGGTTAGCTTCTTTTTTTTTCCAGAAACCAGAAGAACTCCAAGCAGACCTGGTAGCCGAGCAGGAAGCAAGGCTGGCAGCAGGTCAAGTAGCCGTCGAGGCAGTGATGCATCTGACTTTGACATTTCAGAAATCCAGTCTGTGTGCTCAGATATGTCAGAGACTGTTCCTGCTACAAGCAGACCAACACCCCGAGCAGGTTCTCGGCCAGGATCAGCCAAGCCTTCTAAAATTCCAACCCCCCAGAGAAGGCCACTGGCCAGCAAATTGGACAAGTCCTTGAAAAGATAATATGATTGGCTCCACAAAAGTCTTTTCCTTTTGCATTAAATATTTAAGTTCATAAGATGTAAAATATTATGTAGAAATTATTGTGAAATATCGCAAGAGGTGGATTTTTAATTCTGCAGATGGCCTTATTTGTGTATTTGTCTTCTTATTTTATGTGTATAATTTTTGTCAGATTTGTTTTTGGTTTTGCCATATCCTGTGAGAAAGAGAAAGAGTTCTAATGTAAACTAACAGTTGTACACAGTAACATGTAGAAAGTACACTAAAAATAATTGCCGAATGTACAGTGTACTGAATGTACAGTAAGTCTCTGCAATCTCAATAAAATAGGCCTATCACTATGTCATTAGTTAACAGTAAAGGATACCTCATGATTTTTCTTTAAAAAAGAAAAAGAGAATACTAAAAGCCAAAAGACACAATTACACATTTTGAGCTAACTAAGCAAACACTAAAGGATGTACATCAAAACTACTAAGTAATACAAACCCACATTCACAGTACCCTTATTTATACAGCATTTCTCAGAGAACTCACAGAGTTAATTAAGCACTCGCCAATAATATGATACTCCAATACCTTGCAGCATTTCTGTGCCATTGCTTTCAATGAGGCCAGACACATTCTGGATATATTCTGTAAGAATATCAATATAAAGTGCATTCATGTAAATGTGAGGTTTTCTTTTGCTTGAGTGGATGGTAGCACTGTATCATTGAACTCATTTTGTATCAAAGCAATTTTGCTTGCAGAAAGCTCCGAAATAAACATGTCCCTTGACTTTATTTCTATTGTATTTCTTATTTCACAGGAAGGTAATTTTCTGTGTTATATTTTAGGGCATATACCATTTCAGATAACCAATAATTACCATAGGAACACAGGCTTTAATGTTATTTCCCATTATCAGCAATCAGATTTTGGTTAGCTACTGTGTTTGTTTAATAAAACACTAAATTGCACATATCGAATCACATGAAATTATATTTAGTTATTGTGTGTCAACAATTTTTTTCTCCATATTAAACTTCTGTCATTTATATACCATGTCTGAAAGGCATAAAGAGTAATTCACTTGCTCTGTTAGTCAATGAAACCTGTTAGCCATTCAAGGATTCTTTGACAGGACTAATAGTTTAATTTCATTGGAAAAAAAGATGCAGTTTCAAATGGGAGTGCTGTAGGATGGCTGGATAGATGCTGTGGTAAGTAGTGACAGAATCCCTAGAAATTTCAAATGCCCTTTGATAATATGAGAAAACTCTGGTAGACTTTGGCCAACATGCAGACCAAATAGTCTAAACCTGACTGTTCATATATCAGAAAAAGATGTACATTTAGCAGAGGAATTTTAGGGAAGGACTGGTTTATGGTTCGTCCTGCAACATGCTGACAATGAAACAGAATCTCAGTTGATCACATGCAGGTATTGGTGATAGCTGCATTTGCTGCTAATGCTTACTGGCAGTATTACTCAGGTGATATTTTCTGAGTTGTCACAAGAGCTTACTGCACACTCACAAGTTGACTCACACAATCAGTTTATAAGAAACAGATAAACAAAATAATACTTGAAAGATAATTGAATCAATCAAAATCCATTTGTGTCAGGGTTTTCTCCAACACAGAGTTGAACAAGGGTTTGTGGAAAATTATCACTAACTGGTCCTGCTGTGTCTTGGGAATTGGCACATGTGTTTAGTGATTACTGACATGTCAGTCTCTGCTGTGGTGCTTTATCTTTCCATTTTTCACTTCTGTTGCTGCTATTTGTCCAGTGATTGCCTTCCTAGAACATTCAAATAGATCAGGATGACTTCAGTACTTTTTGGAACCCCCAACACCCTTGAGTAGTTGTTTACATTTAGAGGGGGTCACTGAAGCATCTTTACTTGTAAGCAGGAGAAAGGAAAAGGAGAGGATTTAGGCACTTGCATGGAGAGGGGCCGTAGGAAGAGGTGGTACCCACTGTGACATTCTAGGTGCATTTTGTAACCAAAAGACTGATGGTGGAGGGCATAGGGATGACAAATCTAACTCCTTTGCCAAAAACATGTACATAGTTCAGTTCCTTGTATCATAAATGTACAGAGCAGCTCACTCCACTTCACACACTGTCACACTTCAGGTAGTGTTGGCATGTACCTGAAGCACCTTGTATATTGTGGTCTTAGCTTAAATATATTTATAATGCTTCATTAATTATGCAACTTTATGTAATTTTTTTTGTACTGCTACATTGTAACTTTACAAAAATATTACAGCTGTGACCAGCCACTGAGAAATCCAATGCCAGCTAAAAGAACCTAAGGATGAGGTAGATTACTGTGGCTTGTTGGTGATTGCAAAACAGGGGAGAATGAAACTGGAAAAGTGGGGAAGTTCATTTATTATATGGAGAGAATCATCCAGTATTGGAAATCCAATTAATAGTAAATTAAATAGGATTAGGAAATCTGTTGAAACCCTAAATCTGTCTCCAGATGTTATACCTTACTTAATTAACTTCTTCCAAAAATTATTTAACTACTTTAGTTTGACACTAAGAACTCCCAAAACTAAGAGACTTTCCAAAATTCTTTTCCCTGTGTTACAAAGATTATACTGACAAAAGTCTGAAAATAAACACTGGATGCTCTGTACATCTGTGACCCAAGGATGAATTAGCAGAATTTAATGAAAAAGGCATATTGTGCACTTACCAATAAGTGATAGGTAGCTCAGTTTTAGTGAACTAATTTTGTAAAGAAAGAAGTGGTATTTGATTTCCATCTTCCTATATTTAAAAAGCCTTTCTTTTTCTGGTACCAGCATAAATGAGAGAGGGAGGATCAGTCCCACAACCACATCCCCACCTTGTTCAGCGGCATAAGTTTCCACGTAACCTCATCATCAGAGATGCGTCTTCTCCCTTTTATTACCTTCCTTTTAACAACAGGAGTTGATCATAAATTCACCCAACCTGTTGGATGACCATAAGTAGAAGACAATTTAGTGTGGCCTAGACTCTGTGTATACTCTGTGATTCTCCTGCGCAGTGAAGAAGAGGTGATGGAGAGAGAAGCAAGGGTTGGAAAGCCTATGGCTATGAGAATGATATTGTTAAGTGAATAATGTATATTTAGCACTTGGAAAAGCTGGCTCAGTTCTAGGCTCCTGTACTTTTTCAGTCATATTCAGCTTTCTGCCTTTCTGTTTTACTGCCTTCGAACTGGGAAAGTGTCCACAGAATTTTCTGAAATCTGCAGATGATTCACTATTAGACTCCTGGCCTAGGCATCCTCAACTTTGTTTACAGTTTATTGTTACCCTCTTACTTATGGGCTAATGTAATAGATGACAGTAATCCAGGCTTTGCCTCCAGCACATCTCTTCACAAAAGCATAGGGATGAGGTTATATGCAATCTTAATTTAAAAATTAAAGCATTTCTTAAAAATAAACTCTGATGCAAGCAGCTATGCCGTACCATAGACAGCAGCAGAATTTGAACTTGTAGCTGCTGATGTCTGCCATAGGACCAACAGGACTGTCAGCACCGAGAGAGGGGCCGTAGCACTAGATATGTTTCTATGTGGCAAGAAGATACATTGCTGAGCACTTTCTGTTAACATTTTGTAAATAACCACAGGGATGAAAAATCAGCATTGCCTCATTTGCTGCATCTCAATACAGCTGCCCTAACTGCTTCCAGGTGTTTCCAGTTCTTAGGTTGTGTGGTATCACCCGAGCTCATCCTAGACCAGAGGCATTTAGCTAGATGTTTGCTCTGACTGTGGGCTGTAGAAGGGAGTGGTGATGTTTGGAGGTTTATATCCTCGTGTGAGTGGAATTTTATAGAACAAAGAAAATGTGCTTCCCTAATAGTTCTTTCTGCTGAATTTGAATAACCTGTTTGCAGACATGGAGGTGGGAGAGATGGTTGGCTTGGTTTCTTGCTTTTTTTTCCAGTAGTGTTGGTGGGTTAAATGCAGGTAGGTTACTCATCTCTGTATAAAAAAGAATTTCTATTTCTTAGAAAAAGGAACATTGCAGAGGAAAAGGGAGCTTTTCAGAAATAGTGGATGAGGCAGCAGCTTAAATTCTACATAACTTGCATGAAAATGGTGCTAGTGGCTGATAGTATTGAGGTATTTTTAAGTCCTTCTGTTAAGACTTGTTCAGAGTTTGGCTGTTGCAAATTAAGTGGTATCTGACCTGAAGCTAAAGGAGGCTTGGGGGTTATTTTTTCATGGTTAAGTAGTTCTTCTGAACTGAAAATTTTCAAATAGTCTGAATTGCAGCTTGGGGTGCTCCAACTGTGCTTTTGTATTGGAAGGTTGAAGGAAAGCATGATAAAGGTGAATCGTGTAACTTAGCTGGAATTCTGGCTAAGTATGAGAGTGTTAATAGATGTGTTCTTAAAACTTGGATGATTGAGTATGAGTAAGAACCCAAACCCATAAATCAGGCCCTGTCAGCATCTCCAATAATTTTTATTCCTCTGGGAGGAGGAGACTGAGTGGTGATAGTTCTGGTCTGACAGGGAAAGCTGATGTGGAGCTTTTTGTGGGGGTCATGATGATCTTTACAACATTTTGAAAAATATCCAACACCATTAATTTTTTTTCCTCTTTTTGAGGCTTGATTCTATGACTCTTCCAAGTCACAGAATCATAGAATAATTTAAGTTGGAAAAGACCTCTAGGATCTTTCTCTTCTTTACTCAGAATAATGGGGACCTAATGATCTATGGAAGAGTTTTTAGTGTCTGGGCTATTTTTAAAGGCACAGAGTTCATATGATAAAGAAATATCTCTATATTTAAAAGCCGATGATCAAAGCATAGGACAGGACACAAGTCAATTCAAACTGAGGATGAGAAAAACAGGCTTATAGATACCAAAAATATTGGGAAACTCAAAGTTTGCTGATCAGAAGAGAGGATGTGACTTTCAGCAACACTGATTTGAAGCTTTATAGACCAAAACAATGAAAGAAGGTAAAGGGAGTAGGCAGGCTTCACCAAAGGCTGAAGTAGCTAAGCTGCTATCTGGAGTCCTCTTGTCTCATGTGAGCATGAGAGGATTAAAAAATGTCTAATATATAATGGATGCTTTTTATTAAAAGGTATTGGTAAGCTCATGGAAACTGCTGATGAGTTTAGACTTGGAAAAATGATAAAAGCAATCGTAAATGAGATATTAGTAGAAACCTGAATAAATACACAGTGGAAGAGTTGGCTTAGCTTTTGGAGAGAAGTCATGCCTTGGAAGTTGCATGGACGTCCTTGCAAAAATCAATTAGTGTGGACAAGGGTTGAGATTGACCACATGGCTTTGCAAAAAAAAAACCCAACAAGTTCTCAAAGAAGTAAGCATTATGGGATCAGAAGAAAGGTCTTACTGAGGGTAAATAGCATGTTGAAAGCTAGGGAAGACAGCATAGGTGAAGGTGGTCAGTTTTAACAGAGCAAAGAATTCTGCAGTGGAGCCCTTGACAGGTTTTAACACAAAGCTGTAAATGCTGGCTCAGAAGTTCCTGAAGTGCACAGTGTTGGAAGGGTGCTCTGGAAAAAAGCATCACTGTGTTTCTGTGATTCATCCTGCCTCTTGGGAGGTGTGCATTGCTTTCCACTGATGCTGGGGATCCCACAGTGACTAGCTCAGCCTTGGCCAACTAACCTTTAAATGGCTAATTCAAGTAGAATGAATCCCACCCCAAATTAGTGAGTTTATTCTGGAAAAGGATTTTCTTGAGTGGTTTGGAAGTTCTGCTGCTAGCTTTTACAACTTACACACCCTTTTG